AAAAAAAAAAAAAATTGAAGAATAGAATTAGAAAGAAAAAAAAATGTTAGAAGGGCACATGAGGCGCCCTTCCGGACGAAACGAGGGGAGCGAAAGGGGTCAAGCAAAGGTGCTTTTTTGAAGGCTGAACTTTGCGCCATGCAGAGCACGCAGCGGACGGACAAGATGCTAGTACACCGACCAGGTATTCCCTATTCAAGCGGTTGGACGGGTGTGCACATTTTTTTTTTCTTTTCTTTGTTAAGAAATCAGAACGCGCAGAACCGGATGCGAGAGCTCGATCGGACACTTTTTTTCAGCATATTTTTTTTCCCATTCCCGTCCTTGTGTCTAGTTACATCGCCGTGTAGAAGCGCCAATGCCCTCCTTCTGTGTGGTTTTTGGGGAGTAATGATGATGATGACGATGATGATGATGATGATGATGATGAGGAGGAGGAGGAGGAGGAGGAGGAGGAGGAGGAGGAGGAGGAGGAAGATGATGATAGTAATGATGCTGATTATGCTGCCGCTGCAAAGTACCACACTCAAAAACGGTATGATGCAACTCAGCCAGTCCGTGCATGTGAATCCGGGTCAAACGTCGCTCTATATACGCCCGCCTACGACTCCATCTCTGTGTCCTCAGGCTTTGCTAGGCCGTGCTCCTTCAGCAGCGCATCGATTTCTTCCGCGTTCCACAGGTGGTGGTAGACCTTGCCCGACTTGGTCTTGCCTACGGTCGCAAACTCAACTGGATGGCAGCACATCGTTAGCTTTTGCGATGCTGAACTCTCTCCCAAGATGCCTCAGAAGCAGTCGGGTGCACTTACTCTTCTCGCTGCTCAGCTTGGTGGAATCCATCGTCTTGCTCAGCACCTTGACCGCCAGCCCACACGCCTCCTTTAGACTGCACTCCTCGTCGTAGTCCTGTTTTAGCAGGCTCTGCGCGCTCGCATTGTTCGCTCCCACGCTCGTCGCCTTCCAGCCCCCGTAGTTACCAGACGGGTTGCTCTGATATAGCTGAAACTCGCGCTGGGGGTCCCAGCCGGCATAGATGAAGGAGACGCCGAAGGGGCGTAGGCCACCGTGCTGTGTGTAGCCCTGCTTGAGGTCGCACAAGCGCCGGACGAGTTGCTCGCAGGGGATATCTTCGTTGTATGAGAGGAGGTAGCGCTGTGCTGCTTGGCGGGCTATGTTGATGAGGATGTTGGCGTCGGCTGTCATGCCAGCGACTGCACATATCATGTTGCTGCCATCGTCATCACTCAGCATGTGTGTTGTCACGGCGTGGGTAGAGGAGGAAGAGAGCATACTCATTCAAAATGTACAGCTTCTCCGCAGACGTGTCCTGCTCTAGCAGCTTGCTTGTGACTTTGCGCTCCGCTGCCAAAACAATACCATCCTTCGCTAGTATGCCCAGGGCTGTTCCTGCATGTGAAATGGCCTCCAGCGCGTATTCGACCTGGTACAGACGGCCCTCTGGCGAGAAGATGGTTGTCTGGACAACCTTGTCAGCGTTCGACGCTCAATGATACGCCAGGCAATGCGCTTACTCTTGAGTCGTATCTTCGTGACATCTTAACGCAGTCGAGGGCACAATATACGGATTGTGGAGCTGTAGATCGAGGTGAGTGAGTATTGAGTTGAGCAGGGAGGACTGCGATAGAATTATTGCTTCAGCGACGAGGCAGAGCGTCTAGGCAGGCTATTGCACGCGTCCGCCCTGGCCTGGCTTGGGCTTGCGGAGGCCAAGCCACACCTCCGAAAGCTATGACCTTCGTCCACCACGGCAAACTTTCTTGATACTCTCTGCATGACTTCGATGCCGTCGTTTGTCTCGTCGGACGGTGGTGAAGATGTACACCCCAGCATCTCAGGTGCAAGCCGCGCATCTACCGCCACCTGCGCATCAATCTCCTCCCCCGCTGCCTCCAGGATGGACTGAGCACAAGGCTCCAACGGGTGCAGTGTGCCCTGGGTGTATACTGTGCAGAACCAATCGCTGACTATCGGACTAGGCCACACGTACTACTACAACAAAGCATTGAATACATCTACGTATACTCGCCCAGCCCCAATTGCTGAGACTCCCGCAGCCCCAGCGGTAGTCCAGCAGCAGGCTCCAGCGTTCATTCCTAGCTACAGCGCAGGCCAATTCGCCGGTGGCTTCAATCCAGCACAGTTTCAGGCGCCTCCTCACCATCCATCTTTCGATCGTAAAAGAGACCAGAGGCCACCTCGCCGTCCGGATAATGATCGCCCAAAACATAAGTACGAAATCCCGGGTTGCGCCCCTTGGGTGCTTGTCAAAACCAAGCTTGGACGCCGATTTGTTCACAACACGAAGACAAAAGAGAGTCTATGGAAATTTCCTGATCACGTGATGAAATCTGTCGTGGAATTTGATCGAAGGGAGCGGGAGAAGCAAGAAAGACGTGAGCGTGGCGAGGCCAGTGATATAGAAGACGACGCGGCCGAAATGGCTGCGTCAAAGGAGGTCAAGGTTGTTCCTGTGCAACAGGCTGATAATGATGAAGACTCGTCCGAATATGAAGAAATCGAGGTTACAGATTCGGAAGCGGACGATGGAGGAGAAGCGGACGTTGCCGACACACAACGGCCTTCGGAAGGATTCGCGCAGACAGAAGACCAAGGCCCAAGAGAGTTCACCGAAGAGGATATGATGTATCAGCTCGAATCCATGCAACAAGGTGAGGGGGGTTATGACTTCGAACCGGGAGCATATTACGAGGAAGAACCCCCTTTGTCCGAGGAAGACGCAAATGCACTGTTTCGAGACCTTTTGGAAGATCACCACATCTCCCCTTTCACACCATGGGATCGTATCATTGAGGCTGGCCACATCATCGATGACGAGAGATATCTTGCACTTCCGACAATGAAAGCCAGACGTGAATGTTTCGACAGGTGGTCACACGACAAAATACAGGCACTTAAAGAACAGCGAGAAAAGCAAGCCAAGCAGGATCCACGAATACCGTATCTGCAATTGTTGGACGAGCACGCGAGCGTGAAGCTGTACTGGCCGGAGTTTAAACGCAAGTTTCGGAAGGAGGCAGCAATGAAGGACTTAAGGCTTGCGGACAAGGAGAAGGAAAAGCTGTACAGGGAGCATGTAAAAAGATTGAGCATGGAAAAGGACGTCTTGAAGAAGGATTTGACGTCATTACTGAAGAGCGTGCCACTGGGGAAGCTAAATCGAGGGACAAGCTTGAGTGCACTGCCGTCAGAGGTGGTAGGTGATCTGAGGTACATCAGTTTACCGGCCAAGATTAGAGATGCCATGATCGAGGCGTACATATCAACGCTGGATCCCGCACCGTCGAATGGGGAGGGGGTGGAAGACGCTGAAGCGGAAGTGCAGAAAAGGCGCGATCGTGAACGCAGAGAGCAGGCTTTGCGTGATCGGGAGGAGCGTGTGCGGGAAGCGAAAAGGAGGCACCAGCGCGACTTACGGTACGGGAGGGAGCGGCTGAAAGAGAAGGAAGAGGAGCTGGAGAGGGCGATGAAGGTGGGCAAAGAGGGATTAAGAGGCCATTTCGTGACCGACGAGGAGATGAAGGACGCGCCAGGGGAATGATCACCTGACTTGCTCGCTCCGTCGCTCTTCCCCCTTCGTGTTCGGCTTTGCGCAGTGCTGCGCCTTCCGAGCGACCAGCAGACGGTCGATCGCAACTTCCCAGGCTGTCGGCCGCTGAACTCAACTCCAAAACGACGATTCAAGTGCGGTCGGTGAAGTTTGGACATGACACTTCCGCCCCGTGCGTTCACCAACACCGTTCATGGACGTGGACATCATCAAAGTCAGGGGGATGATCGTGGTCTACTCGGTTGAGCATAAGAGCTACGAAAATGGTGTTTCTACGTCCAACCGGGTCTGACTCCTCGATCGTGACTCTCTTTTTATTTCGACATCTCGCCGTCATGCCTTGGAACGAGAGCAGGTTCACACAGAGCGAACAGCTAAGGCTAAAATACCGTCAAAAACACAGGTTGGGATGGATATGAGACGAGAGCTGGTTGGAAGGATGAGAAAGGGATTGATACACGATGAGAGCTTAGAGACGACGACAGCATTCTGCGCGATGGTTGAAAATATGGGCGAAGATCAAGGTCGCATCCTGTCAGTAAAGGCTAAGCTGCCAGTCCTACGATATACGATAGTGTTCGAATAGTAGCAATGAAAGTGAAAAATGCTGATGCATGTCAGCATCACAACCTTTGATTCTCTGTTTGACTAATTTTTTTTTTCTCTTGTGCTTGCACAACCACCCAGCACAGTCAGCGCTTATGCTGCTTCTGAATGACAATCTGGAGAGGGGTATCTGCAAACGCTATGCCTGGTCTCAAATTCATGTTCTGTTTTTTGTTCTGTTCACGGAGAATATAAAGCCTCCCATGCAAGAGCCGAAAAAAAAAAACACCAATCAGAGAAAGTAGAACAAGAGCGTTCAAGTGAAGCGAACACGACACATGACGTGGGTTCGAGGAAGAGAGCGCGCTCAAGGACTCGTCGCGTCCATCTGGTCAGCCCAGCTGCGCTTCTCAGCGGCCGGCGAGAAGCCAAAGCTGGTCTGCTTATCCAGCTGCGGCCGCGATTCGCCCTGGGCCGCCGCCGCCTTCGTCGTATTCTCCTCCGCTGTCGCTGCAGCGCCGTTCTTGTGCGGCGTTGTGTCGATCCTGGCGGGGGTCTCTGTAGTCGCGGCCTTCTTCTTCAGCGGGAACTCGAGGTCCCGTGGCAGGCCGCCGTCCGTCTTGGGCGGCGGAGCGGCCGACGGCAGTTCCGGAAAGTCTGCAGACGTCGGCACGGACTGCTGGACGTCTTTCTTGTGCGGCGTGGAATGGTGGTGGTGGTGGTTATGGTGGTCGCCGCGCCCGCGGCCCCGTCCTCCGCGACCTCGGCCGCGGCCTCTCGACCCTTCGTGTCCGTCGCGCTGGGCGCCATCGCCTCCGTTGGGTACATCGCCGTCACCCTCTCCTCCGACAGGCGCGGCGTGCCTTGTCCCCGCGATTCCTCCATGAGCGCCCCGCCGCGCACGTCTCCCCTCGTCCTTGAAATCGTCCTCGTTCTTCCCGGCGTCCCATTCCCGTCCACTCATGACCTGCAGCTTCCTCTGGCGATTCTTCTCTCGCTCGCCCATCAAGGCTTGCCGCTCCAACCGCTCAATTCTTCTCTTTTCGGCGGCAATCTTTTCCCGTTCAGCGAACGCGTCTTGATCAGCTTGCGCCTTCTCGTGCGCCTCCGTGAGGGCCTTGTTCTTGAGAGACATGGCCGCAAGCTTGGCGTTCAGTTCATCTTCGGTGAGCTTCTTCTTCGCAGGGCCCCCAGTCAGGCTGCGATCACCGCGGACGGACGGTACGGGCTTGCCTGCTGCAGGCCCCGTAGGTGCCGAAGCGGGAGGGGAAGTCGAAGCCGCATCGACTGCTGTTTTCGCTTCGTCAGACCCGTTGGCAGCCGCGGCAGCTCCATCTTGCGTGTTTGTGCTTGCGGTTCCTGTATTGGAGGACGATTTAGGTGCCGAAGCAGCGGCGGAGGTATTTGCACCGCGACCACTGCCACGCCCTCGCCCTCGAGGTCCTCGGGGAACGCCGCGTGGCAGCTCCCCCTTCGACGCGTTACTGTACCGCGGCTCTCGAAATGTCGGCTCAGGCTGGGCAGCAGGCGCTTGTGGAGGTGGGTCATAGACCAATTGCGACTCGGCAACAGGTGTGAAGTCGTCGTCGAAGAGGTCATCGGGCGGCCGCGTCTGGGCAAACTCGTCCACCAAGGGGTCCATTGTATACGCGGGCTCGATCTACGACACACGTGAGCATCCAACACGGCGAGCATGGGCATATGCGTGTGAAGAGCTCACAGACGAAGCTATCGGGGGAGCTGGCTCTTGGAGATGAGCCGGCTCTGGGTCCGGAGTTTGGGCCGAATCGGTCTGCGTCGTAGGCGCAGCGACAGCAGCTTGGAGAGGAGAAACGTCTTCCCGCTTGGGCGCATATTTGGAAGAATACATGGTAATGCAAAGCGGGGCTCTTGTGAGTGAAAGTAGAGTACCGGACCGTATTCACCGTTGCTACAGGCTTTCTCGCACAAGAACCCCACAAAAAAGCAGATCTGCGTCCGGCATGACGTTGGTGTGGCTGAGTCCGCTTTACGGCTTTAGTCCAGTCTGACGGTTGAGACTCGATCCCATCGCTGGCGAAACTCCGAGTCATTACGAAGGTTGGATTTCAATAGCTAGAGCAGAAAGCAGGGTGGTGGGCTGAGTGGGCACAAAGATAACCATGATGTTATGTCATTCGCGTGGAGACGTCGACGGAGCGGACATGCGCACCGTCTTACTTCCATGTGATCTAAGCCTTTGCAGCAGTGATCAGTCCATTCTGCAATTCTACAGCGATATTCAAATGAACCTCAAGTGTGACAGCCACGTCGACTCCTGGTCGCCATTCCCTCGCACAAAGGGTCGAGCTTGCTCACGACGATGTCCTTGCCGGCGCCCCGTAATGGCCGTCGCCATCTCAAGACCTAGTCAACTTGCCCGACACTTTTCTTTTGTGCGTCGGATGCTGTTCTGGCAAGGACAGACTATCATTTAAGCCAACTACCGCCTGTGGAATCTTTCGCATTTTCTGACGCACGCCGCAGACCCAGTTGCGCATTCTGCAGCGGAAGCCTATGAGAAATTCGCTTCGGTCTCCTTTGTCCTTCCTCCCTTTCCCTCCTCGTCAGTTCCTTCCGAGAGTCACACCATGCACTAACAGCAGCTTTTCTTTGGCCGAACCGACCACCGTGGTGAAGCTATTTAAGCCCTGTGGTTTGAGACCACAAGATCTCCTATTGCTCGAGCGGCACCCACCATTCTGTGCACACAGCGCCTTGCTTTCCCTTTAAGCATGTAACTTTTGTAGCGGAGCAATGACAATGAGCCCTGTCTGCACATGGTTTGGAGTATGAGTCCGGACAGTGGATCTCAAATGCGAGCCTGTGCAGAGTGCTGATTTTTCCGAGATTCCCGTGGACGGGATTCTCGTTTTGCTCTTCTCACTCAATTCCATCGACAGGCTGTCTGGAGCATCGGCCGGAGGACTCACGAGCCCGAAAGCTCCGTGTTCAACAGATCCCAAATTGCCCTTTGCACACGCAAATCTCCCGTCTCTTCGCTCCCACTTCTGTGAATTCCATTCGGCTCTCCGTTCACAAGCCCGTTCAGCGGCGCTCCCGCGTCCGCCATAACGGCGTCCTCGTCCGCAGCCTTGACCAGCCCCTCCACCTTCGTCTTCAGCCTCTTGATTTCGTCGACCTCGGCCCTTCCCCGTTCGATCTCATCTTCCATGCGCAAAATGAGGCTCTCTCTTGCCTGATGTGGCCTGTATTCGTTAATCAGGTGGAGAGCGTTGAGGAACATTGTCTTGATCTCTTCTTGCTTTCGCTCGATCTCGGACGGGTTCTGGCTCAAGATGCCGATTAGTTCGAGGAATGAAAGCAGGATGGAGCGTGTCAACTGCCTGAGATGGACTCCCCGGTCCGGCGTGTGGATCGAGGTCGTTGGCGGGTACAGCTGCGTGATGCCTTGTTCTTCGAGGGGCCGCAGATAGTCGCGCGTGGTACGCGTGACACCAAAGAGCCGGTAATCGCCATTGGGAGGTGTTGAGGGAGGCACGAGGTAGCGAAGCTCGGCGGGTAAGTTGAGGAGCGAGATTGACGCGTCGCCGTTCTTGTCTAGCTCCGAGCAATGTTCCTTCTTCCATTGGTCCAGACGTTCGAGATTTTCACTTGTGAACTGCCTGTAAAAATTGGGAGGATTCGGTGCCCACGCCATTGCATAACCGTATTCTAGACTGCCGGGAGCGTGTGGAGGTGAGTGAGTGTGGAATGAAGGATGGCAAAGTTGCGCAAGAGACGCGGGTCAGCGCACAAACCGGCAGCCAAGCAACGAGGGCGGCCTCTGGTTGGGAGCTGTGTGCGGAGCAAGCCACGCGGCTGCAGGGGAGCTTTTCGGTCTCCGACCCCGTGTCTCGGTTCTGTCCTTCTTTGCTGTTTCTACTTTGTTCAGATCATGTTTGTCATGACAGATCTGCAATAATACAAAATGCGTGGGGACGGGTGTCGCCGCTTCTTTTGCGCGGTTTTGGCAGGTGTGTGATTGTGCAGCAAACGCGTCGCGCCAACTGCTAACCGCTCGACAGCGCTCGTATGCTTCGGACTACGTTGGATTTCTTCTGTTGCTGGTTGCCTACTTGCTGGTATGATAACGGCGATGGCTCAGCTCTCCGCGATCAAGACTCATCCGTCGTAGATCCAATTCTTTGTCGAGCCCTTTCATCGCATGTTCTTCCTGGACAACCTCGCCATTCAATATCCGCACGCCGAAGTTGAGCGAGTATCAGTCTGTATGTTGCCTTTCCCTCCCTCGGCTCCTGTTCGCCTGTTCTTCTTATGATATGCCTGACAATAAACCACCCGAAAACAGTTTGGCTCTTCGTATATGCGCTCTTTATCCCCATCGGCGTCATTCTTCTCCTTACTCTGCTCATCTCGCCCTCTCCGCACAAGACCCATGTCGCTCTCCTCGGCCTAGCTATATCTTTCATCCTGGCTTCCTTCATCACCGACGTAATCAAAAACGCTGTTGGCCGGCCTAGGCCAGATCTTATCGCCAGATGTAAACCGCGGAAGGGTACTCCTGCGCATCAATTAGTCACATACGAGGTGTGCACCGAAACGAACCACCATGTTTTGCATGACGGGTGGCGAAGTTTCCCAAGCGGACACAGTAGCAGTGCTTTCTCTGGCCTGGGTTACCTCAGCATGTTTGTGGCTGGGCAACTGCATGTGTTGCGCCCCCGAACGGACTTAGCAAAAGCTCTGGTAGCCATAGCACCTCTTCTGGGGGCTGCACTGATCGCCATTTCCCGCTGTGAAGACTACAGACACGACGTGTGGGATGTCAGTGCTGGGAGTGCGATTGGCTTCGTCGTTGCTTTGTTCTCTTACAAGAGATACTTCCCTCCGCTGAGGAAGCGAAACTGCGACGTACCGTATCCTACGCCATGTGAGATGGCAACAAGACAGAAGGGCAAAACAAAGGCGAGAGCAAGGGATGAAGAGGAGGAGCTGGCAGACGCTGGAGATTTCGAAATTGGCGAGAGCGAGAACGAAGACGGCGACAAGGAGCCGGAAAGGTTGCCGCTCACGTCTGTAAGGCCGTCATGACTATCTAGCTTATTGTACGGAACATTCAATTTAGTCACGCGCATGTAATTGAGCCTGCGGTTCTGCACGGGAGTTTGTGCTTTTACAAGATCTTGATTCAGTGTCGCCCATGTGTATGTATACGTCGCCAACTCCAAGGAGGAAAAATCGACGGTACGTCTCTGCCTCGTCAGCGCCCGTCGAGTGACGTCTGCTCAAAAAGTCGGAATAAACCGCACTTGAGTCCAAGCATGGAAATGCTCGATGAGAGATGGTAAAAAAAAAAAAAAAAAAAAAAAAAAAAAAAAAAAAAAAAAAAAAAAAAAAAAAAAGCCCTTCGAACAGTTTGGTGATACGCAGCTGCGCATTGTTTCTGCCGCGGAAGGTGGATTAGCGAAATCCTTACACAGTCATCTCTGAGTAAAAGTCGACGGTAAGAATAACCACCTTTCCTCTAGTATAAGGGAAGCGGTACTGTTCACACATTCAACATCGAGGACGACGTTCTAGCCATCCCGGCTGTGGGGAAACCCTTGGCATATATATTTAAGGAAACGTCAAAGACAATGAATACTTCTTCTGTTTTGACTTATAACCTTCGAGAGAGAACTGTGCTATTCTGGGATGCCTTGAACTGTCTTGTAAGGGGTTTTCGAACTCTGTTGGTTATAGGCATGGAACCTGGGGTTTGACGTCGATCCACAAAACTCATCCTCAAGGCGTCATTTGCTCAAGAATGGTTTCCCCGCAAGATGCAACGTGAGGTTAGTGGCATCCGAAATGAGCAGTTCTCCTGTTACAGAATTTTTGAGCTACGCTAATTCCGTCCGTCTTTATGCGATGCTCGTGGCATTTTTCGGCTTGTCAGGAAATTGTAGTAGGCTGTGCAAAACCTAGGTCAAGTCGTCAAATTTCAAAGCTTGCCTTCTTGGCATTGACCTCGCTAACTAATTAACCCGGTTATGGTCTTCTCCAGCTTGTTGGGTCCTGAATAGAGAATGCTTTTCAAAAGGTTCAAGTACTTTGCATTGTGGTCGTTATGATGGAGGAGGATAACGACCGTGGAATCCGAACCCGAGACCCGGCACGACAGACTCTTTTATAGCACCCAGTTCAAGCATATGCTTGCACATTCAAAGCCTCAGAAGCTTTGAAAGACATTACGACCGAACAAGACGACGAACCTGAAGCTTGACCCCGGGCTGGTTCCACACTATCGTACCCACTCCTGTACTGCCACCACAAGACCCGGGCACTTGTCTGACCTTTAGGTCTACGCTGAGTGATCGAGAAGCTGAATACGAGTTGATCTTAGGTCAAGGGACTGTTTCGACGCTAAGATATGAAGTCTCTGTCACGAACAAATGCGACGCAAAAGGCCGGCTCAACGTTGCATCCAGAACCAAGCTGCATCCAGCATTTTCGTGGACCAATGTCTTAATAGCGGTACCATATTACTTTCTTCCAGACTTCTTCCACTTCTTCTTTGGCTTTCCTTGCTTAACCTGCCAAGCACAGGAATTATATCTCTATGTGTATTGCTTGTTTTTAGCTCACAATGGCAGTGTTTTTGGAAATATTCTCATTTACCTTTCTTATTTATTCTTATCTACTTTGCGGAGTGACTCACGCTCACGCGATTTCTTTGGACGTATCGAGCACAGGTTAGCCCCTCTGGTGTCCCTGACATGTCTGGTATGCTGAACGTATTTAAGACAGTATAAAAGCTGCCGCGCGTAAATTAGCAGAATCTTGTATGAACTTTTATGACGGAGATAAACCGGGTGGTATTCCAGGGCAGTTGCCACCATCTGCTGCTGGGCAATACAATTGGTGGGAGGTAAGCATTCGAGGAAAAGCTTTGGACTTTTCGCGTACAAATGTTAAGACAATTGAAGGCAGGGGCACTCTTTGGACAGATGGTCGAATACTGGCACTACACAGGCGACGACACTTGGAATGCGGCAACAACTGAGGCCATGCTATTCCAGGCCGGACCGGACAGCAACTTTGAGCCGACAAATCAGTCGCGAACGGAAGGCAATGATGACCAAGCATTTTGGGCATTTGCGGCCATGTCTGCTGCCGAGCTCAAGTTCCCCGACCCTCCACCTGGCCAGCCTCAATGGCTTGCGCTTGCACAGGCTGTCTTCAACAGGCAAGCAGCGAGATGGGATGACGCAAACTGTGGAGGAGGCTTGAGGTGGCAGTTTAACCCACTTAACAACGGTTGGTTAAACAAAAACACAATCTCGAACAGCTGTTTCTTCCAGCTTGCCGCGCGATTAGCACGCTATACTGGCAATGTCACGTATGCACAATGGGCCGAGAAAGCTTATGACTGGCTATGGAGCTCTCAGCTGATCAACAAAGACACTTTCGAAGTGTACGACTCATATAACTTTAAAGAGACACCACGTGTGTGCCCGGATGGCCCGATCGGCATGATTTCAATGGAGCTACAATATTGGAAGCATCATCGCCGGGTCGGCGTTTATGTACAATTACACCAATGGCGATCAGAAATGGGCAGACCGTCTGAATGGATACCTTGGCAACACGCAGAGAGTATTTTTCCCTCAGCAGTTTGGTGGGAACATCATGACGGAGTGGGCGTGTGAAACGGTCAACAATTGCAACAAGGACCAAAGATCGTTCAAGGCGTATTTGTCGCGATGGCTTGCACTGACTGTCGTAATGGCACCTTACAAAGCCGAGACAATCATGCCTTGGATTCAAGGTTCTGCAGTGGCAGCTGTCAAACAATGCGTCCCCGGACCAGAGAACGCCGTCGGTGGACCAGTAGCATGTGGTAGAACGTGGTATTCCGCTCAGGACGATGGAACACGCGATGTGGGTAATCAAATGACAGCGATGAGTATCGTCCAGGCCAATCTCATCACCATTGCCCCTCCGTTAGCGGATGAGAAGACAGGTACCAGCACTGGTGATGCATCGGCAGGTAGCGGGCCAGATACACCGCCCACTGCAGCGGACAAGCTGAGGACGAGAGAGATGACGGCCGCTGACAAAGCTGGCGCGAGCATTGTGACTATTCTCGTTATCGGAGGCACGGCCTTGCTTCTCTTTGCTTTGCTTACAGAAGACCTCAACCTGGATCAGCTTTTCCAGGCGCGAAGGCGATGGCATGGGTCCTAATCCCATCTCGAAAAACTATCGCTCATCGGCTTCGAGGATAATCATGACACATACGATGTGTTCGACTGCCAGATCTGAAATTAATGACCGATGATTGTTGGCCAATATGATCTTTTGATTAGCTCTCTTAACTGTAGCTCGGATGGATTAAGACCGCCATATCTCGCTATGATCTCTATCCACGCATGAGATTTGACTTGCTGAAGAACAAAGACGTTATGTGGTCAACGTAAGCCCTTTAAAAGGTATATACAGTCAATATTCCCGCAAAGACAGATCGAATACAAGACAAATTTAAGAAGAGTTACCGTGGTGCTACTTAAGTTGATCTCAGTGACTGAAACGAGCATGTAAGGAGTATGTATGAAATGGAGAAGCACGAGAATCAGAAAAGCAGCCAGGTGCCGTGAGACAAAGCCTGGCTAAAGTACGCAGATTCTTGAGGCTGCAGCTGGTCGCAAGGTGTCAAGCGGGAGGGAGATTACTCTTGCTGCTATTCATGGACACGGTGGTGGCATCAAGGCTTTCCCGTTGATCACACTCCTTGCCAAGACTTGCCGTAGTCTCCATTCGGAAGGGTAACAGCTAAAGACGGTTAGGTCGCCGCCACAACTCTGACGAACTATCAGCGGTCTGCTGCGTGCCCCTGAGCCCATCAGCCTTGTTGCGCTGCCCAGATCTTGATTCTTCTTTATCAGAACGAAGCCCAAGCGTCGTCTACTATCAGTGGGCTAGCCCAAGCGAGGGAGACAAAGAGATGACTGGCTCGCGAGTGGTCGCCTCCCTGGGAACTCTTTTCTGCTAGTTTGTGATACGACCCGATTAATTTTGGGCTACGGAGAATATTGATTGTTGCTTTTTTCTCACGCGCGTCCCACTGACAGATGCCCATTAAGCGTCGCCTCTATTTCGCGCGGCACGTAATTCTAACTTACCTTCAACTTCTGCTCGCCTTGGATCGAAGCAGAATCAGAAATCGCTTGGATACAATGATGTCGTGAATCTCATCTGGCATCTAAGTCAAGCCACTCCAGGAGCAGCCATGAGCATCACTCCATCGCGGCGCGTCAGCGCTGTCATTTTCTTTTCGTTTCTCGCGAGCATGATCATCTTTTTCCACGGTACCATCTACCATGAGCTCTATAAGCATACACATCAGCTTCAGACTACCGAGGGACATGAACACCAGCATTTGGTCGCTACGGAAGAGGAACGTCAGAAGCAACTCCAGGACGAATTCGATCGCCAGATGAACATTGCTCACCAACATGGACGACCATCGGACCCGCATTCTGCACCAAATGCAGGACCGGCGTCAAAACGTCCCCCTCCAGGTCCATCGCCGCAGAACGGGGCAGACCCGGATCACAGCGCGCCTGTAGAATTTCCATCCCATTTACCACCAACTATGGTGTCACATGAGCACGCTGGATCGATAGACATAGTCATCGTCGAAACCACCGGCTTCCACGATGAGGTCTCTGCAGCCCTGGTGCACGCTTTCGGATCCCTATCGAATGCAAGACTGCATCTCTACCTTGAGCGTCCACGTTATGGTCTGCTAGATGTTCTCAAGTCGTTCAATCTCTCTTCGCCCATCGTAGCTGTGAATTCCACTTCGGAATTCGGAGCACGTGGGCCTAAACCACAAATATTAGTGTCTACCACATGTGAAGTCGATCCGCTCCGACTGGACGCGCAGTTCAAAAGTCTCTTGGAAGAGCGGAAGACTTTTCTCTACTGCGTTGTGCACCACGCTGATCGCTGGCATGGTTCTGAAAACGACGTTGCCTTGCAGCCGTGGGTTCGCGAGGGCCTTGTGGACTTCATTGCTCTTTCTGAACACACAGCCAACTACTTCCGCGAACACGCAGTTTCTGAGCCGACGCTACGAGCTAGCACAGTTCTCAAGGTTCTTCCTCCTGTGTTTCCGCTGGTTTTTCCTCATAAAGCCAAAGCTCTTTCTGACAGCCGTCTGGAAATCGTTGTCCAAGGCAGCTATGAGACGACTCGCAGAGACTATCAGGGCGTCTTCAGCACGCTGAGCGACTTGCTAGGCCAAAGGGACGACAACAGACACTTGGACAGAAATCTCACTCTACATCTCGTCGGGCATGGCGAGCACCCAACAATTCCCGAGCAGTTGAATGAGCACGTGTTCTTTGACGAAAAGCTAAATTACATACCTTTCTACTCACTCATTTCCGACTCTGCTGCGCTTCTTCCAGCCTTTGCGGGTAGCGAATATCTTGATCGCCAAGCCTCCTCGTCCATAGCGGCCTCACTCATCGGAGGGACCCCGGTAGTCGTGGACAGAGCAATGCTAGATGCGTACAGCTATCTCGACGAGGGCGCCGTTTGGGTTAGAGAAGAAGGCGAGTCTGAGATGGATGTTGTCACCAAGCTACTGGCCTCTACGCCTGAGCTCATTGAGCGTCAGAAGCATCTGGTCAGGATCCAGTGCCGGCAGATCGTCGCGAAGAATATTAAGAGCGTGTCCAGATGGGTTGAAGTGGCCTTGCGACGGCTGTCTGTATGAAGCAGTTCTTGCGTACGTTGAATGGGAGATTTGGGCTCTTTTTTTACTTTGCAATTGGTTGATGAATTAGATATCATGTATAGTAACGGGCAGTGGTCGAAGTCCTTGCATTGAAGAACAGACGTGGGCCAATAAGTGTCTACATTCGACTAGATACCCAATCATGCAGATTCGAATTTCTGTAATGTTAGTACTGCGCGAGAAGACAGACTTTGAGATGAATATCGACGGCAGGTTCTTTTAATGTGGCACATATGCAGGTTCTGTGCTTAAAGTAATATGTGAAATTTCTTGTGATAGTTTCGTCCGCATTGTGGGACGTAGAAGAGTAGGGAGAGCCCAAAAGCGGCAGAAGCAACATGGGCGACATCTCCGAATTGGGAACGATCCGCAAGTAGCACCACCACGTTCGACGGTGTCGAGGCCAGAGGTGCAAAGTCATAGTGCAGCAACACTTCTCGAATTGAAGAGAGAATGTCGCAAGCCCAGGATCGAGTCTTGCTTTTTCGACATGACCGAGTTGGTGAAGCCGAATCCAGCTGCAGACTTCGAGCTGCGTCATCAACGAAGTTCGGATAACGACCAGCAGCTGCCCACGCCCTTATTAACACCGCTCGTCGGGAGCCCGCTGCTCCAGAGCTTCGCACCCAAAGAGGAGGCTATATACGAGTCGCTCGAGGACCGCCTGAACGCGCCGCCAGTCGACTTACCTAGTAGCGACGGGTTCGAGAGGTCGGGTACTGCATCAAAGTCGAAAGACTCGAAGTCGACGTACACTGCAGATGATGGCCCGCGACAGCGTAGCGCCTCAGATAGGCTCGCTACACCTGGTGCTCTCAGCTCCGAGCGGGTGTTGAAGCTGTCGCCGCAGGAGTTGAAGGAGCTTACACTTGATGCTGCCTCCCTGCCTGTGCGAAGAGCAACGCCTAGTCCTACGTCGGAGGATGCACCGTTCTCAGCACCTCTGTACAGAGATGCGAACACCGCCGTCACGATGGAAGACCGAGCCAAGTGGCAGCAGTGGGCCCAGGAGGTTGAGCACAGGGGGCGGCCGACAGTGAACAGAACGAGGAGGTACGGTAGCTTCTTAATGGACAGATCTAAGAACGAAGGCCAAACGGGAGAGGGTGGAGACGGTGAGCAGCTGCTCTCTGGGACATCAAGGCCTCATTTACCAGCTAGAACCGTCTCGACTCCTCCGAATTCACGCAGGAAATATTCGTCAAGAGGGCGCCTCGCGACGAATGAGGTGATCCAGAAGGAGAAACCTCCGCCGTCTCCATCGGAGATTCCCAATCCCAGACAGGATTCCAGGCAGGATAGGATGAATGGACATACAAAAGCACCGGCTGCGGCTCCACCACCTATGCAGACCCCGGCGCTGCCACTGCCGCCGCTGTCCCTGCCGACCTTCTTGCAGCTGGAGCTTGATGCTCAAGAGCCCTCGCAGCTTTACATTTACCGCCCTGCGAATGCAGATTTTCCTTACGAGTCCTCTGCCGTCAAGTTTGAACGGCTGGAGAACTTCCTGCTGCTTCCGGGACATCTTGAAGGCACGCTCATATTCGGCGCTGCGGCGTGCTTTGACGCCTGGCTTTATAACCTCACCATATTGCCGATCAGGTTCTGCAAAGCACTCGCCATTCTAGTGCAGTGGTGGCTGCGTAACGCCTGGAAGGAGATGTGTGACCTCGTCGAGTTCGTCTACTTGGGCGTCGGAAGACTATGGCGCCGGAATCGATCAGGAAGCGCTCCACCAGAGTACGCAACGCCAATGCTTTCTCAACCCGGATCACGTCGTGCGTCTAACGTCTCCGAGATCCCGCCCTTGCCTTCTACTCAGAAAGAGATTCGTGGCGAGTCCAATGGTCTTGCACAGGCTCGTACCGAACAGCCAAAGCGTCTTCTCAAGAACAGCGGTCGACGGCATCGTCGGACACGATCCACGCCTTCCTTATTGATGCCGAATCACAAAGCGGACATTCTGAAGGGCTTCCTCATCATCTGTTCCTCTTTTCTTCTTCTATATCTCGACCCCAGCCGCATGTACCACAATATTCGTGGTCAGGCCGCCATAAAACTCTACGTCATCTACAACATGCTTGAGGTTGCCGACAAGCTTCTCGGATCAATCGGACAGGACATCCTTGAGTGCCTTTTCTCTCGCGAAACACTCGAGCGGAAGCCGGACGGTCGAAGCAAAGTTTTGCGACCGTTCTCGCTGTTCATCCTCTCCCTCATATACAACGTGATCCACGCCTCCGCACTCTTCTACCAGGTCATCACCCTGAACGTCGCCGTCAATTCCTATTCGAACGCCCTTCTCACGCTGTTGATGTCGAATCAGTTTGTCGAGATCAAGGGTTCCGTTTTCAAGAAATTTGAAAAGGAAAATCTGTTTCAGATGTGCTGTGCCGATGTGGTGGAGCGGTTCCAGCTTCTGCTGATGCTTCTCATCATCGCCATGCGTAACATTGTCGAGGTGGGTGGCATTAGCATTTCTATAAGCAGCAGTTCCTTCTCCGCCTCTTCGACGAGCCCGCCGAACACCAACGCTACAGGGTCGCCATTTACCAGCAGTGCGATCCTTCCGCGAAGCTTCAATATCTTGCCGTCGTTCCCAGGCAAGGTGCTCACGCCTTTTCTGATCGTCATCTGTTCCGAGATGGTCGTGGACTGGCTTAAGTACGCCTACATCAACAAGTTTAACAACTACAAACCTAACATATTCGGACGCTTCTTTGACGTTCTAGCCAAGGACTACTACACACACGCGTTCAGCGACCAGAACCTTACCCGTCGAATCGGCTTGCCCGTGTTCCCGCTGACCTGCCTGTTCATTCGAGCGAGCGTGCAGACGTATCATATGCTGATTGCCACGTACTTCCCTCCGCCTGTACCGAGTCCTATCACCGGCCTTGCCATCGAGGATGAGTTGCCGACGTCCACACCGGCGACCACCGCGGCGTTTGCTCATATTGACAGGCTGTTGCGTCGTGCGCTTGGTCGTTCCGACTTCTCGGGCACCGCATCTACCTTCTCGTACTTCAACTTTGACGATTTCACGGCCATTGCTACGACTGTTATCCTGGGCCTGATTGTGTATCTTTTGTTACTCGCCTTCAAGCTTGTGTGGGGCATGTTCCTTCTCGCTATCGCCCGAAGGCGTTACATGGGCTTAAAGGTTAGAGAGACCGAGGTCGTGGATAGTGATGGCAAGCGTATCGGAGGTTGGGGTTCCGTGGAGCTTGGCGATGAAAGAAGAAAGGTGATTTACGAGGGTGATGAGAAGGGGTTGCAGAAAGCTAGGGAGCGGGATAAAGGAACTGAAGAAGGTAAAGGAAAGGCCGTAGACTACAGTCGAGTGAGACGGTATGATATGGTAGCGAAGAGGATATGGTAGAACTGGTAGCAAATTCTGTCATAGAACTTGATCATCTAGCATTTGAACACATCGTTTACACAGAGTTCGTGTGTGAGGAATGCCACATGGTGAGATGTGCTCCCACAGTGGCACATTATTGCAAGCTAAGCCAAGAGCACATGGCAAAGCCATTTCAGCTAAATGGCCCCATGTGAGAAGCAAAGACATGCTTGCTAATTTAATCATGCGATCTGTGCGCAAAAGGAGAAACAGGCTGCAATCTCCTTATGTGCTTGTTTGTAGCTGGCTTAACTACAAGTGGTCCCGAAGCGGAAACAAATGTACACAAGACGGCAGCAGAGTAGAGACCAGGCAGTCAGATGGGGATCACTGAGTCGAAGGAGTGGATGAAAACGTATGAATTTCTAATGAGCTGCTATTTTTATGGTGCCGCTGGAGCACCTGCTACAATTCGTCATCCTCATCCTCGTCCTGATCCTCGTCATAACGCCACGAAGGAGGCATTGGATAACTGTGCTCTAAGCTGTCGGATACTAGATCGTTCAGTCGCAATGGCGCTTTAAGGTTGCGAAGGATGCTCGGGGTCTTTGGTTCAGGCAATCGCGGAGAGGAGGATAAATCTGCCAGGCCATTTTGTACATTAGGAAATCTCGACTTGGATTTAGCAGTGACATTGATAGTTTGCGGTCGTCGTGGCGTATTCAATGGCGAACTGTAAACAACGTTCGTCTGAGAGGTGAATTTCGGCTGCACTGAGAATACGCTGCCATGCTGACCACGTAATGACGAAGACGTCATTGTCTCGTCAACTGTCGTTGCTTGCGAGGGACGGACTTGATGAGAGCGACTTGGAGATGCAGAGATGGACCCATTCGACCTGGCACGTGCCGACGGCGTCATAAAAGGCGGACTTGAGGGCACTCGCTCAAAGAACATTTGTTGCGTTTCTCTCATGAGTTGATCGGATGCTAGATCTTGCGTATCTCTCAGAGAAAACTCCAAAGCAGTCTTGGAAGTGTACGTGCTTCCTGGTAGCGATTCTTGTTTGAGGCACGGGCTGCTAGTTTTACGCAAATCGGCGTCGTCGAGCTCATTGGTATCGTTTATTTTTGATGGCTTCTGAGTCTGTGAGGATGGAATCAAGATTTGTCCCTCTTCTCCCTCGGAGTGAGAATGTCTTTCTGTTGAAAGCCCCATCTGATCGTCGAGATGCACCTGCCCTTGGCCACCACTGCACGGAATTGCCCCACTCAGGTGAGAGGCACCATCCACTGCCGGTAGCTGAAACAAAGCATCTTGAGTTTCAATACCTGGCATTGGATACTGGCTTTCGCAATTGGCAGCACGTAGTGGTGCAGCTTGCATATCAATCGATGAGCGTGTGCTTGAGCGCAAAACACTAGATCGATTACTTTGTCTCTGCATTCCTGACCGGGCGTTCTCCTTCTCGAACAAGGCAAGACGAGCGTTGAAATCTCGAACCCGGCGCTTGGATGGAGATTCACGGATCCTTTCTGGATTAGACCGAGGATTTTGCGTCAAACGATTGGGTGTTTTGGCGTCTCCAGATGTCCAATGCGAGGATTGGATGTTCACTGACTTCTCTTCTAGAGGTGATCTCGGCTCCGGCAGCTCAACAAGGCGTGGAGTGACTTGGGTTGAGAGATGCGTGTCGGGCGGTGACCTCGAAGAAGGCACAGGCAGTACTCGGATTTTTTTTGGTGTTGTGAATTCGCGGCGTCCAGCACGAGAAGTTGAGGCTGGCTGTACGGTATGCATTTCGGGAGAGCTTTGCCCTTCCCCGTCGTATTCTCGGCCGGCTTGCTCCAAGTTTTTTTTTCGACACTTGTGCTGCATAGCGTGCTCAGAAGGCTGGAGAGCGTGCTTTGGAGCTGGCAGTGGCTGTTTCACACCCGCTTCGTCTGGATTGGGCCCTTCATCATCCGATAGTGTCGCTTCCTCGTCCTCATCCTCCGAATCACGTATTACCGTTCCTCTATGATCTGAAGAGCGTTTGACGAACTGCGTAAGCGTGTCTTGACTTTCCGTCTTAGCAGGCAGTCTAGACTTGCGCGTTGCTCGTGCCGGCTTTCTAGTCGCATCCCTCTCATCCGCAGACTCCTCGTCGCCGTCGCTGTCTCCAATGACGTCCAGGAAGCTGCGTCTGCCGAGTTCAAGCTGGGTCATTGTTGTCTGGATCCTCCGCCTCTTCCTTGGTCTTGGGGATTCCTCTCTAGGCATGACAGCTTGAACTGCTCTGACGCGATGTCTGAAATGCCGCTGCCGGTAGACAGGCTTTGAGCTGAAGACTTGGTCCTCAAGAGACCGCTTTCCTGTCTTCGCAGGCATGGCGACAGACATGCCAGACACTTGCAAGCATTCGAGCGGAGCGGAGGGTACAAGGTGTATTCCTGAGACAAATAGGAGCGTCAACAGGCCAATTTCCTGGTAGTTTCACCCTCCTTAGGCGTGCACACCACCGCCAACGTCCTCATCATCTCGGCGTCTTAGAAGTTGCCACGCGACGCGCCCTTGACGCGACACGTGCGGGGACTGGACCTGTCGGATCACGTGACCATAGAACCCATCAACCCAGCTCATGCATGGTCTCAACATGTCTAACACTCCAACCGATAATCTTTCTGCTCGTCCAATGTTGTATTCTATCTTCCATCTTTCAACAAGGGCTTCACTTCGGATCTATTGTCTCTCGCAATGAGTTCTCCGTGTTGCTTTTTGAGGCCATAATACGCCAAAGATGACAGTGGAAGTCCGTGCAGCGTCTGTGCCTCGGTACAATGTGCACATCAGCTTCAGCTCATGTGGACTCTTCGACCATTGCGTGCGTAAGAACAGCGATTGAGCTTCAGCCGCCGGATGAGAGATCATGCATGCGTTCATGTGAGCAAGAGTCCGCGAGCCGCCCTCTGAGCATGCTTTTGAAAGCCAATCACTGAAGTGCCATCCAAGTCAATCGATCCCTCTCGTCCTCGTACTACATCTAGACCAATCCTAGTCCAACTGCTGCCCCCCCTTCTCTCTCTCTCTAACATATCGCTTTCAACCCACAACGTCAGCGGCCTTGCCACGACACTATGGCGGGACTCCTTACATACCAGCCCTTCAAGGCCATATATGCCCTCCTCGCGGCGGCATTCGAGGCTGCAAGGTTCCCTCTATGGATTCTTCTCTACATATCCTCCAGTGGTCGGCCGCACAAGAAATGGACGTTACGGCAAGCAATTGGTGTACGGATAATACGGCAGTTTGTGTACCACAGCGCCGCTGTTGAGGTTGTGACCCCGTACAATTTGAAGCCGGGCAGCGAGAAGGAACGTTTCGTGACCTGTGAGCCAGCGCCCGGCAGCATGTACAAAGGGCCGCTCCAAGACAAGCAAATCAAGCCTCTCACAACTGGCGGGACGTGGACTCCAAAGCCGATCACGCCGGCAGAGATTGAGACGGGAAATATTGACGTCGTTTTGTATGCCTTCCCTCTGCGCGGAGCACCGTATACCCCAACTATCGTTGCGTATAGCGAAGAATGTGCCTTCTGTCGCGCATAGCCAATCTCCTACGCTCACGTTTACTAACTTCTGCTGTGTGCTATAGACATTTCCATGGTGGCGCATACGTTCTGGGTGACGGCAGAGATGCGGACACATCGTTTTTGGCAAAGACACTTCTAAAGCATGCGCGCGTCACCCACGTTTTCACGCCAAACTACCGACTCTCCTGCAACGCTGGTGGTCGTTTCCCAGCCGCATTCCAGGACGCGGTGACGTGCTATTACCATCTCGTCAAGACTCTCAAGATTCCATCCGATCGAATCACTATCTCTGGTGACAGTGCGGGTGGCAACCTGGCATTCGCGCTGCTCCGATACCTCACCGAGTATGGCAAAGACGTCGGTCTTCCGTTACCAGGCTGCGCATGGTTTTGGAGTCCCTGGGTCAATGTCGAGGAAGCTCGCAACCCAGAAGCTCTTCATAATTCCAAGCAGTACAGTACGGACTATTTGACCGCTCCATTCGCGATGTGGGGAGCTCGCATGTTTGCTCCACTCGACCAAGGCCTAGACACCACTTCCCCCTACATCACACCCATCGGCCATCCGTTTATGACGCCTGTCCCGATCTGGGTATCCACCGGTCGTGCGGAGGTGCTGTATGATGACAACAAAGCAATTGCCGAGCAGTTCGAGAAGCTTGGAAACAAGGTTAGCCTTCACGTCATTGACAACGTCCCCCACGACATTATTCTGCTTGGTCACATTTTAGGATTCACGAGGGAGGCCGCGGCTGCGGCGAAGAATGCTGGCGAGTTCCTCCAGGCTGAGAGGGCCAGGCTTTGATCACAAGGAGTGCAAGACAAGCGTTCGATTGCGGATAGACTTAGGGAGGCAGTAAAATGGGGCATATTCCCTGCTGTCATCGGGCAATATTCATATTCAACCCTATGTTCATTCGCCTCGTGCAATTCTCTGCTCTCTTATTTGTTATCACCGAGCCCGAACGGCGTCTCCCGATCCGTACTCTCCATGACGGCTTTCATGGCCTCATCGCAGTATTCCGGCTGTTCTCTGTAGTAATGATTGCGTCCGCTACATTCGACCGCCTTTCCCCTGTCGGTCCCGTCCACAAGCATGGCGACGACTTCTGCAATCTTCTCAACGGGCGTGAAGTACTCCGGCGGGAAGCTCGCCCACTCCTCCTTGCTCAGCAGGTTTGTCTGCACCGTCCCGGGCAGGACCGCGTTCACGCGGATCCCGTCCTGGCGGAACATCTGCGGCGCCACGCTGCGAGCGAATCCTAGCACGCCGTGCTTGGCTGCCGTGTACACCGGGCTGTAGTATGACGGGTACAGCGCGCCGCAGCTCGCCGTGATCACGACGTTGCGGTTGCCCCTTGCCGACTCAGGCGAGAGTCTCATGTAGTGCTGCGCGAGGTACGTGGTGGAAAACACGCCGGTCAGACAGATGTCCGTGATGCGCTTCCACTCCTCAGGCTGTGGCGGCGGCTCGTCCCCCGCGCCGTGCACTTCGTAGAAGTTGTTCCGCTCGCCGATCCCCGCGTTGGCGAAGACGAAGTCGACGCGCCCGTGCTTCTGGAACGTGTCCTTGAACGCTCGTCCCAAAGAATCATACGACGTGATGTCGACCTTTTGGAACGACGCCTTGCCGCCTAGCGCGCCCGCCTGCTTCGCGCCGGCTTTGTCGTTGAAGTCGTAGATCACGACGTGCCAGTCCGGTCGTGCCGCGAAAAGCTTGACCGTCGCGAGGCCAATGCCGGACGCTACGCATTTGAGTGAGCATGTTTTCTCTTTTCTCTTTGTTTTCCCCTCTCGATCTAGAGGCTGTTTCTTAACGTCAAGTACCTCCGCCTGTGATTATGGCCACTCTGTTGTCGGGCATTGCGACGTTCTAACGCTGTAGATATAAGACACTCGACGAGGTTTGAGCAGACATGCAAACGTTTGTGGGGTTTTTTTTTTCTTTCCTCGCCGTTGAGAATCGAACAGACATATATACTGCGTACCGTAGCCTCCAACACGGCTTTCTAACGTCTCAAAAGTTCGAGCTAGTCCGACTCTGCCTTTCAATGTCCGGTTTGTCATACGGATAATAACAGCCGTTGTCACGTGGAGACCAAGGGCGCGCCCTTTAACTTAGTGTCTACTTGCTAGTGAATTCTGCTCTACTCAATGGGCATATTTGTTCTTCTTCCAATTTAGTACAGAGCGGTACGTTGTATTTTTCTTTTTTTTGGGGGCCGGGGGTGGTTGTCATTGGCCTTCAATCTATATTCATACATATTCTGAAATTATCGAAATCTGCGGAATTGGGAACGAGCTTATTTTTAGATTGGTACGTTATGTGATTTTCTGTACACAGGACCTGCTCAAAAAAAAATATAAAAATAAAAAAAAAGAAGCACGATCTGGGAAAAGGCTATGCGTACTGATTTGCACTATTTGCGTAGTTCAAAGCTGACTTTTCTCACATCTACTTAGTTAGGCCTTGACGGCCGATTCCTCGATATCATGCTTGTAATCCTTCACCTGGACGGTCACGTCGCCCGTTAACATGTGGTCCACGTTTGGTGCCCAGATGGATAGAATCGCACCAAGCCCGGAGAATGCGATGGTGCTGAGCCAAACAGTGTTGAAAGCTTGATTCGCAGCCTTCGCATAAGCAGCCATGCCCGCCGCAATGATCTCTGGAGTAACTCCTGGAACTTTGGTGAAGCTGCCAGCGCTAATACCGGCAATGAAGGCCGCAACGGACGATTCGGGCAAACCGGCGGCAATGACCGCGCGAGGGACCAAAGCAGGGATGGTTTGTTTCTGTCGGTTGGACAATATTACGGTGTATATGGTGCTGCAGATGGTAGAGATCAACGAGCGAGCCGAGCCGGCGGCACCGGTCGCTGTTCCGATTTCGCGCTGGTCGTCGATGCAAAGAGTGCTGACGGTCGAGTTGAGCAGTTCAGCAGCACCTACGAATGTCGAAGCGAGGAATATAAAGACCGAGGATCGGATGATCGTGTCGGGCGTTGAAGTCGCCATGACTGATCCGGTGCGTTAGCATATTCGTACGACAAAACATAGGGAAAGGAGAGACGTACGAGCAAGAAAGAGACCTCCCAGCGAGAAAACAACCATGATCTGCCAGTTCGTCTTCTTCTTGTACCAACAGGCACAGTATTCACCGAACAGAATACCGCAGTTGGGCAAGCAAGATATCCATCCAATCCACATGGGTCCATGGCCTTCGGCGTACATAGAAGCTACCATACTCGGCCATAGAAGAGCATTGGCGTAGTAGACACCAGCGCCAAGAGCCCATAGGATGACTGTGATGTTCCAGCCTCGGTTGCGAAGGAGGTGCATCGGCAGAAGTGGCTCTTTCAGCGGCATGAGAGCTTCGTAAATGAAAAATGCAATCGTAAGGACGGCGCCAACCACCATGCACGCAATAACGTGAGCAGATTTCCAAGGGTATACGGTACCGCCCCATGACAAACTAGTGACTGTCGTTAGGGCGTGGGACGTGGAAGAACGTGCGCATAACTCACCCCATGAGGAACAGTAGCAGCCCAAGGACCACGATGAAGGTGCCGACATAGTCAAAGTGTTTGACGAAGTCCATTTTGCTCCGCGAGCCGTGCTTCGCGTGGAATGTAGGCGGATGATAACAGAAAAAGAAAGCAAGAGTGGCCAAGCCGTTCATGGCGATCATGAGGTAGAAAACGCTGCAGGCGGAATGGTAAGCTTGGCTCTCTGGTTTGTGCGTTACGAACGTATCATACCCTCTCCACCCCAAGTTCGTATGATATATGAAGCCATATGCCACGGCCGGCGCAAGACCGCTGAAAGGGATTCCCCAGAGAAACACGTATGCATTCGCCATGAAGCGATACTTCTGCGGTACAAGCTCGCTGACGATGACTGCGAGAGAACAAAACAAACGTGTCAGTTGTATGGTTGTTCGATCGCGAAGCACGCTCACGTACAGGCGTATGATATCTGCACCGAACCGCCGATGCCAATCAAGGTTTCTCCGGCAATGAGCGCGGGCACGTTGGGAGCAACGGCAGCGACAATGCAGCCCAAGGTGCCGACGGCACATCCGCCGATGAACCACCACCGTCTACCGAAGATGTCTGAAACTCGCCCGACTATGATGAGGCCAATGGATGTCGTCAGCAAGTAAGCGAGTGATACCCAAATGATGTTTGCGTCAGGGCCTATGTCCGCGTTGATGACGGTGAGGATGGGAGCGGCGAGGGTGAAGCCTCCCACACCGCAGCCAAACGCTATACCGATGGCGAACATGGACCCCAGGAAGCTGAAGGACGTGAAATAGCCCTTTGGAATCTCCGTATCAGTGACGGTGAAGTCACGACCGATGACCTCGTCGATCCCATGATGAATGTCGTGTCCTGCGTGAGTGCTTGGGAACGATCGTGCATCTTCTGCGTGTATCACGTCGGTCGGGTTTAGCTTCTCGGAGGCCATGGCGCCGACTCGAAAACAAATGTGCGGATAGTGCAGAGGATTTGAAACGAGGTCACGAAGAGTCCTGCATCCTCGAGTCTGTAGACGCCGATCGTTGGCTCTTATCCCAGGGCGGTGGAAAAGCTGATCCGACGGGGTGGGAAACTGAGGACGGTGCTACTGCTAATGCGCGACAAGATAAGCGAATTGAAGGGGGGTGTGTGTGGCGAGGCATAGCGGAGACCAGAGCTAAGCTAAAGAACATGAACATCTGGCTCGGACGGTAGTTTTTCTTCTGCTCTGCACGTCGCATATGAGGACAAGATAAGTTGATGTACGCTTCGAGAAACCTTGGCAGCATATCGTACCAAGCGGACGACTATCTCTTCCCAGATCATCGACGGTTTCTCCAAGCGCATGCAAAACGCTAGGACCTTTGTCCCCGCGCCATACCGATGAGCTTTCAACAATTGGTGCGACCGTCCTGGCGGCGCATAGCTAAAGTTAGGAGCTGAGAGAGCCTCATCCTTTGGACGGGAGTTGAAGTCGTTCCATTTTCCGGGGAAGCCTTGGCAAACACCGCCAATCGGTCTTTGCGGGGTTTTAGCGCTTGTGCTATAACACAAACACGTCCGAATCTGGGGTTTGCTGCGTTTTGGTGCCAATGGCTGATCCCGTGCGTCGTGCGTGATGATTCAGTTGAGGAACGGTTATAGAACTCCGAGGAGAGAAAAGGACAGACAGAGAGTGAGTGAGGGAGGGAGAATCCGATAGAGTGGCCCTCGCCCCTAGCTGCAGCACGCGGGATAAACTTAGTTAACTTATGCAAGTTCTGCTGTCCAAACCCGTCAGCTGATTTCGCGATCGAGGTTGTTTCGGCATAGCGTGGCTCGACACGTTGAAAAGCACGAATGGAGAAGTATTTCCACCTTGACTCAAAATTTCGTTTCATCATAGCTAGAGGGGTGGGTTTGGCTTGATGACTGTGCATTTTGAGACCAAGACAGGTTGCAAAGTGGAGCACAAAAGGAGCAAAACTGGCCGGATCAGCGCGCAAATGCTGGTTTCTTTGGGCCGCGCATTTACCGTCTGTGATTTTCTGGTTTGTCCTCAGTGTAGCCGTTGAGTCTCACTATCTAGATTTGCAGGGCTGTTGAACGCCGGCCGAGCCCCTCGAAAGCCTTGCTGGTATATGATCACTGTACGCCCCGATGTTTCCAATGAAGAACGTAGCGCTCACGCATCCTTTTTCTTTTCCCCCTTCCTTTTTCAAAGTGCGCACCGAGGAAGCTGGCATCCGCCATTTGTTAGCTTAGCCGAAATAGCCTTTGCCAAAGAGCCACTCGAGCTTTTCGACCGCCTCCTTAGACCTCCCGCTAGCTGCGGTAGAGACTGCGTACTTGCTTCCGCCCTCCACGTGCTTCGCCAGCACTTGCTCTGCGTGCTCCTCCTTGGTTAACTCGTCCAGCACGGCGCCGACGAAACGCCTCGCGTTTTCGGCGTTCGCCTTCATGTTGGCCATGACCATGGCCACATTTACGTCCTCGGTCTCGTGCCAGCAGTCGTAGTCGGTCGACATGCAGATCATCTGATAGGCGATCTCGGCCTCGCGGGCAAGCTTGGCCTCCGGCAGCGCGGACATGTTGATGACGGAGCCGCCCCAGGAGCGGTACAGGTTGGATTCGGCGCGCGTCGAGAACTGCGGCCCCTCCATGCAGATCAACAACCCCTTGTCGTGCAGTCTGACGCCCTCGCCCTCGAGCGAGTGGCCGCATCTCCTCACGATCTTGGCCAGGCCTTCGTCAAACGGGTCGCCGAAGCCGACGTGGCCGACGAAGCCGCCCTCGAAAAAGGTGAACGGCCTTACGCCTTTGGTACGGTCGATGATCTGGTCTGGCACCACGAAGTCCCTCGGCTTGATCTCTTCCTGGAGCGAGCCCACGGCCGAGAAGGCTATGATGGTGCGGACGCCAATGCTGCGCAGCGCCGCAATGTTCGCACGCACTGGAACCTCGTGCGGCGCATACTCATGGTGCAGACCGTGGCGCGAGAGAAATGCGATGGGCACCTGCTTGCCCGTGGTTGGAGAAGCATGGTGAAGGATGGATATGGGCGACGAGGTCTTGCCCCACGGCGTGTCGACGTTCAGACTGGCTACGTGCGTGAACCCGGGCAGATGAGAGATACCGGTGCCGCCTATGACGGCAATGTGCACGGGATCTGGCGAGAGCGGACATCAGCAAACTGCACCGTGCGTGTAGCATACGGTGGTTGATTCTGCAGTACCTGCGTACGTGGAGGCGACGTCGGCACTCATCTTGAGGATTCGGTCTCCGATAGAGGTTGTTCCAGTGCGACGCGTCAAGGCCCGAGCAGTGTTTATGGCGCGTATCAGCATGCACGGCGGGAAATTTTCTTGTTGGGGTTTGACCTTTTTTTTTTTTTTTTAACGTCGTGAGGAATTGCGTCAGCGAGGTCGGCGAGGATACGACGTGGGGCCCAATTACTGTACTGTACTACAAAGAGCCCATCACGGAAACAGACGCGGTACTTTGATCAAGTAAAATCATCTGAATATGCTGCTTGAGCAATTGGCGACTTTCGCTGCTTGGAGATCATACCAGAACGGTACTTTTCCACAGTAGGCGCGCGTAGGCGTGCGTAGGCGTGGATCTGGCATCAACCGGCGGAATTATAAATTGCCGTGCTATCCAAAGCTTCTAATCTCCATCGCGTGCTTAGCTCTGGGTGTAAACCTGAACTGACGCCCCCGATTCTGCTTGCAAATACAGAGGCATGATCTGATTGTTGTTGGGAGCGAACACACACCATGCCCGATTCACTAGAGCAACGCAAGCAACGCCTGTGCTAAATGGCCAACTCCACGACACACGTTCATCTACGCTCACGATGACCTTGGTGTCGCTTCCGTCAACAGAACTTATGTTCGTCGTTAGCATGCCTCTGTCAATTCTACCGCAAGAAGAGTTGTGCTTGGCGTGTCGTCCACGCCGGTACGCTCTTCAATCGTTATGAAGCTGAACTGCCCGTAGTTTCCCCAGCACTGCACACGCGAGGAGTTCTCGATGCACCACTCGGAGGAGGGCCATACAGCTTCCTCTCGGCTTTCCGATGAGTGAGTCAGTGTGTGCGCTGCACATAAAACTTGAGCCATGTTCCACGGTCGTACGTGGCTGCGATGCAGATGCACATATAAAGTGAGGCAACAGGATGCCACTCACCAAGTTAAGAGAAACACCTCAAGTTGAGAGAAACACCTGACCGAGAGTCAGATCGTGTTCCACTACGCAAGCGTCGCGCAACATTGTTTGCTGTTCAATGAGCTGCTTCGTTGAGGGGTGAGCTGGTTTGCTCGCAAGTTCATTTCACTTACTTATCGACGAAGGCAAAGATGCAAGATTAGAACGCAGTTTGAGCAACTTAGAATCGACTTTTTATGTTTGTGTGCATATCACAGGTAATAGTACATCGCTAAATCCACCCGTACTGAGGCCGCGAAAAGAAAAAGTCATCCGATGGAATATCTAGCTTCGCCAACTAGACATGGACATTCTCGTAGTCCTGTTTCTCCATCTTTTGCGCGGACCGTCCGCCCTGAAACAGCCGTAATTCTGCTGAAAGCATGAATTGCAAAGAGAACCGGGTCGTGGAACGCTCGACTCTTTTCCGTCCGCTCTCTGCTTCACTTGGATTTCGCGCCACCCAGCAGTGGCGCTGATTCACCGCTCTCGTCCTTCTTGTGCTTCTTTTTGCCCGCTCTCTTCTTCCTCTTCTTCTTCTTCTTGTCTGCAGACTCTTCGCTAGTCTTTTTGACATCAACATGCGCCTCCTCCTGTTCAACCTCGTCACTCGAGCTCGTGGTTTCGAGAATGATTTTTCGTACACCATCCACTTCGACAACCTGCTCAGTTATGCTACCACTTCTTGCGCTGAGCCGTTTCTTTCTCGGCTCTTCGCTGTCGATTGAGTGCAGACTACCAACAACAGAAGCAGATCCAGCTGGGCTGCCGGAGCCGTCCGCTGCTGATACAGCAACGTAGCTGGAATTTTTAAGCGTCTCGTCTTTGGGCGGCTTGGGAGAGTGCTCGTCATCAGCATGTCTTTGCTTTACGTCGTCCTTGGATGAGCTGAGGTCGATGACCATCTTGGGAGGCGTCTGAAGATGACGACTGTGAGATGACTTGCGTGACCGTGAATTTTGTGGCGAGGTATCAACGCTTCCATTTCGCAGTGGCGACGGTTCCTCCGGCTGATAGCCATTTGTTTGGGCTCGAACAAGGCTCGAAACTTTCATGTCCTTCGTCTTGGCTGTTGGGCTGCTGAACGCCCCGTAGCCAATGGCATGAGTGGCATCGCTTGCTTCGCGCCCGGCAGAGAGAAGACTAGTGGTTTCGTTCGCCTCGTCATCCGTTTCGAGAACTTCATCCGTCCGCACGCGTTCCGGAGGGGGCCGTCCGTCGGCTGGCAGCTGCTGGGTCTCCGGCAGAGTTGTCATCTGTCCCAGGCCAGGCTTGATCTTGACGGTGCCAATCCTTGTGCTTTTCGGCCGTGACGCTACGTTGGATGGGCCCAGATGGGCGCGCAGATGCTGTCTCATCTCCTCGGTATCCGAACGAACCGAAACCTGCTCACCGCCGCTGCTTTTTCTTCTCAAGTACAGTGTCTGGCCGTGGGTCGGGCTCCTCCCTAGTTCGAGCGAGGCCTTTCTGCTGCCGCTTTCGGCGAAGGAGCCCTTTCTCGATCTCCGTTCGGCGTCCATGTCGCCCTCCTGCTCGGTGTCGGGAACCTGAGGATCCGGATCAGTGACGATCTCACCTTTTTCCACACGGCGTATCCGGTTGAAAGGCGCCGGTTTCAGTCTCCGGATTGCCTTGTGTACATCTACGAATACGTCGCTCTCGTCGACAATCTCTTCGCCAATCAATTCCTCGATGACGTCCTCCAACGTGAGGACACCGAGCGCACCGCGCGGTTCGCCAGGGTAGTCGGACACGAGAACCATGTGAGACTTGCCCTCCTGGAAGAAGTTCATGATGTCGAGACAGCTGGTCTCGGGTCGGGTCTCGGGTAAAGTTGCGAGCTGGAAGTCGCGCACACGGAGGGCATCCTCAGGGTCGTACGTGATGAGCATCTTGACGAGCAGCATTCCCACAAAGTCACGGGGGTTGTTGACGGCGTAGATTGGTATTCTTGAATATCCCTCTGCAAGGATCTTGTCCATCATAGCTTCGTCGAGGACGGTATCGAGAGACAGGGTGAAGACGTCCGAGATGGGTGTCATGATGGCACCCACCGGCTTGTCCTTCAGGTCAAGCACGGCGCTGATGATCGTGACCTCGTCCTGGTTCAATCTCTCGGTTGGACTCTCGCCAAGTGTCCTGTGCAAGGTGACGAGCGTCTTCAGGCCTGCTTTCTTGTATACGGTGCCATGGTCTTCGCCGAGCAGGTAATCGAGGAGCTTCGCGGTCGGCCATGCAACCGGGCTGAGCATCCACATGAGCGAGAGGACGAGAGGAGCGCACCAGGCGCCAATGGGCAGGCCGTAGCGGACACAGACGGACTGGGGCGCGATTTCACCGAAGATGACTGTGGTATCGAAGTCAGCGGGGGTTGCCGATGACCAAAGCAAGCAGCAGCAGGTGCGTACCGATCAACACGGTCGAGCTCAGCACGGCTGGCCAGCCTCCACCGAGCGACCTGTCCAAGACAATGGGCAGGGTCTCGTTTGTGATGACGTTGCCGAGCAGCAGCGAGACCAGAACCCAGTGCTTGCCGCGTTTCAGCAGATTGAGCACTTTCTTCGCGTTGCGTCGCTCGGAGCCTTCGCCGGAGGCGGCCAGGACTTGGAGGTAGATCTCGTCCTGGCCCATCAAGCTACAAAGTTCAGGTATGCGTCAGTGACGGGCGCGAGCGGATGGAAAAAACAGAGCAGATTGCGAGGGGCGAAGCCAATGGCTGTCCGTAGGGTAGGGACAGACAACGTACGCGATAGTCAAGCCGGCAAAGACGCCTCCGAGAAGGACCAATGCCACTGCGGTGCCCAAGTAGATCCACAGGCTGGCGTCCTCCGCGGGCGCGGGCTCGACGCCGTGATTGTGCGCGTGCAGCAGCGGCGCTGCGTACGAGAAGGGGACATCTGTGAGCGCGAAGATGAGCGGAGCGAGGAGACGGGACAGGCGGAGGGACGAGGGCTGCACCACGCGCTCGCGACGAATACGGGTCAAGGACGGGCTCGAGGCTGCGGCCATTGCAGCTGGAGGGGTGGGCGAGTCGGGCAGAACACAGTGTCACAGAAGCACCGTCGCCCAGCCAGGCGGGGAGGGGGGAGACGGTGAGACGGGAAGGAAGCAGAAGCCGTAGACAACGACGGGCTCGAGATGCCCAGGGAGCGGAGGGCAGGAGAGGAAGGACGCGAGGGGCGGAAACCAGATTGGGCTCGCACGGGGGCGAAGAGAGAGGGCGAGCGTGCGATGATTTTTGGTGTTGAGAACGGCCGCTGGATGATCGGCAACGAGCACGAGCTGCGGGAGCTTGGACGGGAGCCATTGCCAGCGCCCGCGCCGGTGGGCGACGCGGAGCCGAGCACGACGCACTCGCCTCTTGCGGTTGGCAGCGGACGTCGTTTCCATGGCGCGATGCTTGCAAGCGACACGGCGACGCAGACGACAGCAGAGCGCAACGGCGTGCGCGCGCCGGGCTGGCGAGCTGCCAGACGCGGCGTTGCATCTGCCCGTCGCTCTTGTTGCTCCTCTGGTGCGGGCGCTGGGCCGCGGTGTTGCCACGCCGTTCGCTCTGCTTCGCCTGCGCAAGTGCCCGTCTGCTGCGCTGCGGTGTGCTGTGTGTACTTGTCCATCCGTCGTGCTCGCAACCGCACACGCAGATGACGCATGCCAGGTCGCCGCCCTGCTGCAAGCAAGCGCGGCGACGAACGCAGGACGCGGACGGCGCAGGAACAGGCTGGCCTGGCACGCTGGACGTGCAGGTAGCGCTGGACGAAGCCCAGCTACAGACTCGGAATACACAATCCAAACTTTTTGATAGGCGGGCGCCATCGTTTGGCCGTCCGGCTCGTGGAGCCAGCCAGTTCGTCCGTTCAACGGCCAGTCTGCGATCGCAGCCGGGGCGCTGACCACGGCCGCGCGCTAGGTGCCCCCTCGAACCCGAGCCGCTCTGGTGCTGCTTCTACGCGGACAGCCATCGCCAGCGCAGAAACTGCGTGTGGAGAGACGCACATGAAGCCATGACGCCGCAACACCTTGCTGGCGCTCCGTATCAAGCGCCCTGTCGTTGTCCCCTTCGCTCTCCAGATTTTGCACGGGCTTGGTTTTCTTTGGCAATTGAGCTGTCTGTCGCTGCCGTCGTCGGCCGGTCCGTGGTCTCCGCGCGGCAGGAAGCACCGCCCGCGTCGCAGCTGCCCGCGTTCTCTCCAGGCAACTCCAGCGGAAGCAGCGACCCCTCTGCAGATGCCGAGCGCGCACACCAGAGGGAGGCGCAACCCCACCACTGACGTGCCTTCTACTGTCCCAAGAGAAGGAGCGATCCCCGCCCCTGCGCCGCTGGCGCCAGGCACGATCCCCACAAGTTCAAATCTCACTTCTTCCAGCGCTCCTTCCTCCGCGTCCTGCCGCCGCTAGCCGTCGCGGATACCACAACGCGCTCTTGTTGCCCTTCAACAAAAGAGAGCGACTCTGCCTCTGCCCCAAAAAGCACTGCCATTGACTTTGCATTTTCTCTCCTCGACAAATCCTGTGCTCTGTACACGGCCTCTCCGTTTCCGTCATGGCTTCTGCTTTGTGCCCGCGGCTGTTGTTACGTGCTCCCAAAGAGTTGCGCTGCCTGGTTGCCGCTACACAATCGCACTCGAGGTCCTACGCCTCGGTTCCACCTAAAGCCCGCCTGAACGTGCCTACAGATTTTTCCACTACTCCTCTGTTGAATCACACCTCTTCTGCCGCCCTGTCCAACCCAGAGTTGCCCGAGAGCATCCGGAAGTCGAGCAAGACCTCCCGTCTTACCCTCCATGAGGCCGTCAATGCAGCCCTTCGCCATGCCCTTACCGTGGACGACTCCGTCCTCCTGTTTGGGGAGGATGTCTCTTTTGGCGGCGTGTTCAGGTGCAGTGCTGGCCTTGCCGCAGACTTTGGCTCGGCCCGCGTCTTCAACACGCCGCTGGTCGAGCAAGGCATCGTCGGCTTTGGCATCGGTGCCGCTGCAGAGGGCATGAAACCTGTCGCCGAAATCCAGTTCGCCGACTACGTCTATCCGGCTTTCGACCAACTGGTGAACGAGGCTGCAAAGAGCAGATTCAAAGCGGGCACTACACGCATGCACTGTGGCGGGCTCGTCGTGAGGATGCCGACGGGTGCAGTCGGTCATGGTGCTTTGTACGTTCCCGTTTGACTTCTGAAGCGTCCTGTACGCTTGTCTTCACAAAAACACGAATCGCTGACCAGCTGCATGTCCAATCCAGGTATCACTCCCAGTCTCCTGAAGCTCTTTTTTCACATATTCCCGGCCTTCGCGTTGTCATCCCTCGCTCGCCCATCCAAGCCAAGGGCCTTCTCCTCACTTCCATCCTCAAGTGTAACGACCCCGTCGTATTCATGGAGCCCAAAATTCTCTATCGTGCTGCTCGCGAGGAGGTTCCACTTGATCCGTACTTTCTGCCCCTTTCACGTGCCGAGATTCTCAAGGAAGGCACCGATGTGACTATCATCTCCTACGGCACACCGCTCTACTACTGCCGGAATGCAATCGCTGCCGCTGAGAAGGACCTAAAATGTTCCGTGGAGCTCATTGACCTTCGAACCATCTATCCGTGGGATAGAGAAACCGTTTTGAATAGCGTCAACAAGACTGGTCGAGCCATCGTCGTGCACGAGAGCATGATCAACGCCGGTGTGGGCGCTGAGCTTGCGGCCACTATTCAGGAGAAATCGTTCCTGCGTCTTGAAGCTCCCGTTCAGCGCGTCGCTGGAGGTTCTGCGAACATCGGTTTGGCGTTCGAAAAGTGGCTAATGCCGGATACAGTCCGTACGTATAATCCTATGACCTATTCTTTGCGAAGTTGAGATACGTTAAAAAAAAGAGAGAGGGGGGATTTAATCGTCATTGTCTAAGCATCAAAAGCTAACCAAATCATCCAGGAGTTTACGACGCAATAAAGAAGGCTTTGAACTACTAGCATTGAAATGACAAACTAATTAGGCAGACACAGTGTTCTTACTGGAGGAGAATTTCGTGTCTTTCACTAATCCCCCTAAATGGAGACTTCTTCACTGCACATTCGCCGCACCCGATCCTGCGAAACGCGTTGCTGGACGTTTCCGCGTGCTCCAAGAGCAGAAACTGGTCCATCTGGCTGCCGTCGGTCATCCACATGCCAAGGCAGAAGGCCCACATGCGGTCCTTGTGCTCTAGTACCCCCTTCAATGATCCCCGCTGAAGTGGAAGCGGGAAGACGTCTGAAAGGTCTTCAGTATCTTGTACAGTCCGTTCTAACGATAACCTTTCCCCACAAGAGTCAAACAACCGCGCCCATTTCGGGTTAATGTGTCTCCATTCTCTCAGCAACTCCTCATCCTCTGGCTCGTGATCCAAAACAACACTAGAAAATCGCTCCGCTCCACTAAGGTCAACGATGCCGTTCTCGTCTCTCTGACTAGTACGTATCCTTCGCAATCGTACCTCCACAAGGACACCGTGTAAAGTTATGCTTCCATGTTTCAGTGTCATAAAGTCGTCATCACCTTCGTTATTGAAGTCGACTCCAGCAACCGTTGGCCAAGGGTCTGCAAACTCTTCAAAACCCACAACAGGCCTCTGGAGATAGAACGTTCCTCTTGGGTAAGCTACTGCGCCGGAGATCGTCACCCAAGTCCAAGACGGACCAGGCCGATACTTTGCACTATTTGCAGGAGGTAGATCTGTCCTCCGTCTCCATGAGAGATGCACCACAAGTCTGCTCGTCCACAGTCCGCACATGTACCGGGCATCGGTCATGTAACGTGCCATCTGCTTTGCCAGTCCTGCAATAGCCGGAAGTCGATCCGACGTGAAGGTGAGATCAAGTTGGGAATATTCCTCCACAGCGGCGCACCAGCGTTCGGCGTACGCATTTTCATGCCCACCAACACCTTTGAACAGTCCTTTTCCGAGTGCATTGGCGTGTTGTAGTTTTGGTGGATGACTTCGGACACTGCGACTCGCTGCACCGACTTGTTTCCTACAATAGCACTCAATGCAAGAACTGCATTCGAAGATCAAATCCAGGTGACCAAAGTGGAGAATCCGCGGGGAGAGTAGCCTCTCTTGGAAAACCCACCCACGAGTGAGGAGCGGAAGTTGTACAGAGGGCATGGGATGCTCAGAAGAGCCTCGGACGAATACGACGGTAGACTGATTGGCGGCCTCCACAAGAGAAAGAATTGCTCCAGGTTCATCGGGCTTAGCTTTGTGAAAGCCATCTGTCACGTAGCCCACAAGGAACGGTGGTGGGTTTGTGAAACATCCGGAATCACTGTTCTCCGCGACACTAGCTGCTAGAGTTATATACGAATTTTCATAGATGGACGCCATCTTTACGGATTGTTCTTTCCAGTCTTCCCTGCTGTCTTGGATGATGCATAGAGAATCAATCCACAAGTAACGAACTCCAAGCGCTCTAGCGAAATGGATTGCCTGCTGGAATGTTTTTGGGAGCGTGAGCCACGCAATTCGCACCTTGAATTCGGCCATGTTGGCCCTAAGAAGCTGTAGCGGCTGCTTGAGTCCCCAGCGGTGACTCAAGGTTGCGTACAGCCCAACCTCAGACTGCGACTCGTACAGCTTCACGTCGCTCTCGAGCCAGCTCGGGTCATTCACGTCGCCGTTTCCAAGCCAGAGCAGCCTGTCAGGCATGGGATGAGGATCCATTCTGCACGTGTCGTGCGTCATCTGGCATCTTGCGATCTGGCGCTGAGCCCATCCCAACGCTCGCGAGGAGCCCGTATACGTATATCCGGAGTAGAGGACGTCGGCCAAGGCGCCAGCGTCTAGTCCTAGCTATGGGTGTAAGTGCGGAACCAAACATTGCTGCGCTAATGCGGACTGTGTAGACGATGCCAAACACGCTGAACAGGATGCAATCAAGAAGCAAATTGAATGTGCTATTTCGATCGCGTTTGCAGCTTCCTTTCCCCCCTCCCCCACCAAAAAAAAGGAGAAATAACACTGACCTCGCAAGTTACGAACGACAAAGTCGAATTGAGAACCGTATACCTGGCCCGCCTTTATGACTAGGACCTTGATCCCGTGCGTGGCACGCGTCTGAGACGTGTCGTCATCGTTAGTGATGTGCAGGCGCTGATGAGCCTCGACGTCGTGCTTGTTTAGCACGTCGAGGATGATGCGACAGTACAAACACGACTTTGCCGATTCAACGACGTCGGAGGCGTGGCGAACGTCTACGCGGCTCGCGCGCGAAACTGCCTCATTACATATCACGCAAGGCATGGGCCGTACTCTTGCGACTGGAAACTGGTCGCCAGAAGTGCGTTACGTTTCAAGGTGGGCGAGGATGCACGGTTCCGCGAACCGTCGAGCTCTGGTTGCCAACGTGGGGCCAACCTCATACAGCTGCTACATTCAAAGGCTGCGACTGGCGGCTAAGCTCGATTCTGGGAGAACGTACCTCCTCCTGGCTTGCATGACTACGTTCTTGGAGAAAATTCGGCTAGCCAGGCAGGAGAATAGAGGATGACGGCTATTAGTTTCTCTTTGTCCCCAGTATCAAGGAAAAGGTTTGACACACACACACACACACACACACACATGCCGCATGTTTATAAAACTGCGCACAGGTACGTGCCAGACGGCTCAGATGCATGCAGTTATTCTGATCTTTCAAGTCCAGGACATTTTGGCTGCGAGATCATGACAGGATTTGAGAAATAAAGTCGCTGCATGGAAATATCTACAGCGTGATTTTCTTCATTCGCACGAATGATTTTCCAAAGTACAACTCGACACTGGCCAGAAGCTCTGACGACGGTTCTGATCAGTTGGCACTCGTATCGACCGGTTCCATGCCCCTTTTGCTGATTTGCACTATGGCGTGTTAGTGCTTCAAGCCAACCAGGCTTATGACACGTACTGATGTGCTTTAGCCACTTTGCGTCGTCTCGATGATCGTAGTCATCGGCGTTCATGTCGGCGTAGCCGTTGGGATCCATTTCTCGCGAACAGATCACAAATCCTCGCCCTTAGAGTCTATATCAGCACGCCGAAGAAGTAGAAACCGGCCCATACCCATCGCACATACCGTGGATTGACTCATCTGTGGCGATGCGAAGGGCGCACCGTCCCGCGTCGTCGAGGTCGATCCATTGCGACCCGATTCTTCTCAGCATGTCGTCGATGTGCCGCGCGAACTCGTCTGGCATGATTCCAGTCCTGGCCCACCAGGGAGCAAGGAGGTTGATGCGCATACGACCGGATGTGCGAAGACAACACATCAGTCCCCTGACGCCGAACTTGGAGCTTTGGTACTCCGGCCCGCCAGGGAGGTCAAGGTACGAGGCGAGACTGCCTTTCAGGATCAAGCACCGGTCGCGTGACGGGTCTTGCTTGTTGAAATAGTGCATCGCCAGTTTTGCCGTGTAAATGACGCCAATATAATTGACCTTGACGGTCCGCAACTGCGGCTCCGAGGGCTCGTCGCCGTCTTCTGCGCCTGGTCTCAACATCTTCGCGAGGACATTGCCTGCTCAAGCCTTACCGAGCTGGAAGATCGAGTCATGCCCGCCTATTCCGGCGTTGGCGATGACGACGTCGAGACTGTTCTCCGGAGAGTTGGCTATAGCGCCCTTGAAAACCTCTACTTGGTCTTTCCAGACCGTTACGTCGCATTTGTAAAATTGATAACTGCCAATGTTATCAGTTTTGGCTTATAAGAAAAACGTGCAGCCGTAGTGACTTCGTTCTTACGTACTTTGGATTTTCTTGATGCTCGTTGCTCGGGTTGATGTCTGCGTTCGTTACGAACGCGCTAACTGGAACTCAGACACAGATCAGGTCTAATTAATATAATATGGGACGCGAGTACCCAGCATTTAAAAACGCCTTTACATAGGCGGCGCCGAGACCGCTGCTTCCTGCTCGAAACAGTAAGTAGATGTAGAATCACAATTTTGAAAGACAGATAGCACCTCCTGTGATGACGACGCTTTTGTTTTTCATTTTTCCGGTGTCTGATCCCACAGAGCTCTCGACAGGGCCTTTGTTTACGTACGGATAACCCATGATCGACTCACAATGAAGTTGTTCAAAAGCACAATCTTGATACGCGGAGCACAGAGCTAAGAACTATTGCGCGAGTTGTACTTGGGCAGCAAAAGACGAAAGCGAGCTGGCGTGTTAATTTATTGCTTCGAAGTCTCGAACAACCTCGGCTTGTCAGGAAAGAGGAGAAGGCTGGACGGTTCAAAATTGAAAAGGATAGGGCACATGTCACAGCTCGCTGACGGATTTGTGCTAAAATATTCGATATGTTCAAGAAAGGCGTCGTGCAAAACTTTTGGCCGCAGGGTGCTAAAATGATTTCTACAAGCGAGGAGGGATAGATACAGAACATAATCTTGGGCGTTCAGAATAGGAGCCTATGAATTCCTCGGCAGACTGCCAGTAGCAGACTGTAATTCCAGATCCTTTTCCTTCATCTGGGGCTCTTCTTGCCTTTGGTGGTGAAGCGTCGCAGCAACTTTTCCCGTCATAAGATGATCGGTGTTGGGAGCCCACCACGTCAATATAACTGCTACCGCCGAGAACGCAATCGTCGAGAGGTAAACGGTGCGATAAGCGTCGGCATTCGCTTGCTTGTATGCCCTGAGGCCTACGGCTATGATATCCGACGTGGCACCAGGTACGCTCGCGAAGGCAGTCGCGGTGCCGGACGTGATTGCTTTGATGAAGTCGGCAACTGAGGACGCGGGCAGTCCTGCTTTGATCAGTGCCGGGGGAACTTCGGCCGGTATCGTGCTCTCCAGTCTGTTGGTAAGAATCGAGACATAGACCGCCTGCAGAACGGATGAGATGATAGACCGCACAGAGCCAGCAAGTCCTCCAGCAACTCCAATCTCTCGCTGATCATGGACCAAAATGGCGGCATTGCTCAGGCAAATGCTTTCATTCCAACCAATAAATACGCAGCCGATATATATCAGCGCGATCTGCGTAGCTTTGTTGTCAGGTGTCACGGTCGCCGCACAGCCTAGGAACACACCGCCAACAGTAAAAGCAACCATCACCTGGTAGCGAGTCTTCCCAATTTGACGAGCAAGGAGACCGGCTAACATTTGACCGGTGATGAATCCAATACCGATGAGAACGGAGATGTAGCCGACATACATGGGATCTTCAGTCGCGTACAGCACTGCGCATTGCGTCGGCCAGACAATAGCAAATGCGTAGTACACTCCTGCACCTAGACCAAGTAACACCACGGCTGCAGTCCAGCGTCCGTTCGCGAAGAGGCGCATAGGCATCAAGGGCTGACGTGTGGGACCGTAAATTTCCCACAACACAAACAGCGCAAGGACGGCGGCGCCCCCAACAATAGACGTGATAACAGCGGCTGACTTCCATGGATAAAAGCTGCCACCCCAAGAGAGGCCAAGAATGAAAACAATAATACCCGTGGAGAATAACAAGGTACCGATGTAATCGTAGTTCTTGATCCAGTACACCTTGCTGTTCACATCCTCCTTGTGCTTCTCCTCAAATGTAGGCGGGAAGTAGAAGAGCAGCCAGCACAGGAACGCTGCACCATTGATTGCTAGCAAGAACCAGTAAAGTCCTCGCCACCCAACAGAGTAGCGTGTAATAAAGGCGTAGGATATCGCCGGTCCAAAGCCGCTGCCGGCTATGGACCAAGGATATATGAATCCACTGCCCAAGTACCTGTATTTCATCGGCAGCAGCTCCGCCAACACGTACGAGAAGCTGAGCTGGAACGCCGATGCGCTGCCCAAGAACACATTGCCACCTATCAAGACTAGAATGCTGTTTGCGGTTGCGCAGATGATGCTACCGATAACTCCGAACGCAGCTCCCAGGATCATCAAGTAACGTCGTCCAAAGATGTCGCCGAGCCGGCCAACAATAGGGAACCACACTGCGGATGCCACAGTGTAGACCAGCCCGATCCACACGTATCGACTGTCCGGGCCTACGTCGGCATTGATTTGAGCCAGGATCGGAGCTGCGTACGCGCTGTCGCAATGTTAGACGAGCACAGCATGGGCTTTAGAGTATGCCTTACAATGCAGCAGTTCCCGCCCAGAGGCTCAGCCCGATCGCGAAGAAGCTGCCCAGAAAGAACCGTGAGTAATAGTATCCTTTGGGAAGCTGAGCCTCGTCAACCTCAAATCCCGTCACCTCTTCGCCATCTCTGTGCTGAGTCTGAATCGACGCCTCCTCGCGGCGGACCTCAACGTCTTTCGTGCTTGACACCATGATTTAGCTAAAATCGATCTCCTGGCCACGACCTAAATGTATCGCTGCGGGGGACCCATATTTCTACGTTACCACCTTCCCCACACGAATATATATACATTCAGGCTGCGCCTGAACGAAGAGTCATTTTCACCGGGAACCGGAAAAGAACTCTGTCCGTCTTCGGTGTTTGGATTCGCATTTTCGCCTCTCGGATACAGGTTTCCGTCTTAGAAGCACAAAAAAATCAGCGGGCGCAAGAAGTGAACTCGGGACATGACACGTTAGCGCAAAAGCTCATTAGCCAGGCACATCTGAATCAGGACTGGCAAGCTTTGTTCCCCGCAGTCTGCGCAAGGCTGACTCAAAGATGAAGAATTTTAAAAGGTGGTGCATCCTGCCAATTTTTGCACGTTGCATTGGAGACTGTCCAGGTGATAATAACGTCTGTGAACATTATGTATCGTCAAGTTCATACTGGCTACAAATGTTTCGGGAAAGAAACTGGACAGGAATATATCAAAAAAAAGAAGATGCATTTCATTCATTGAATTTGCTCAAGAGTGTGGCTTTTTGAATTTCTAGCACATTGGTACTTAGCTGCAAGCTATGCTATCCATATTCGTAGATAATTATTCGGCTTTAGACTAAGATCTGCTATACATGATCGTAATGGAAAACTTCTGGTTTATCCTCTTGACCGATGCCAACGTCGAAGGCATTGACCTCAGCCTTCCTGAATTATTCGAGCGTGGGTGTGACGCTCAGGGATGACGTCCAGCTCTGCGAATGTTCTACCGGAAGGCTCTAGCAAACGGAAGATATTGGTAAATAAGCATAAGAAAACAAGTCCCTGCCCAGAAAAACCCAGCACGGTTGCCCCCATTCCAAGCAGAAGGGTTGATCATATAAGTAGTAAGGACGTTTACAATAATAGCTGCCATATTGTACGTGATGCGCGACAATGCCGCAGTTTTGACTTATAGTCGACGAGTTTTGAATCTCAGCAACAAGGGAGAAGGCAACTGTGCCGACAGACAGCTGGTAACAGGTGGCCCATACGAGCATGAGAGACCCGGTGGCGAGAGAAGCTGCGGGCTTCATGTGCGTCCGGAGTATAGCCATGAGGCCGATGACAAGCAGGGTTAAGAAAGAGTCCAGAAAGACCAACAAGAAATAGCCTGCGACGCCCGACGCCCCAGGCCATGAAAGTCCAGGTTATGAAAAGGCCAACAGTGTTGAGACCATAATGACCAAGTACAAAGTCATACAGTATATATCTCCTATAAGACCGGCTTGTGCGAAAAAGTAAGTAGAACAATTCAAGAATATCTTGCCAGCAAGGTTTTGCGAAACGAAAAGCATGCAGACGATCTCTGACCTGCGAAGGTTTATTCCTTTAAAACAATCCAGATAAGACGCGCCCTCTGTAAGCACTTTCTCAAGCTCATCTATATGCTTCATCATATCGATAGTTTCGTCGGCATCAAAGGTAGTATCTTGCTTGGAAGAAGTTAGACAGAGAGGAGCCTTTCGCGCGTCATTGTATCGGCCTTTCTGAACTAGCCACCAAGGAGATTCAGGCGCAAGGAAGATGCCGATAATAAGGGCCGGAAACTACATCCACTAAAATGAAATCATTAAAAAATTGCGGACTCTGACCTGCGGGGGAGAAAGCAAACCTGATGTCCATACAGAATATGATAAACCCACTCATCATCTCACTTAAACATGCTTTTTATTACAGCAATTGCCAGTAGCTGGCCAATTCCCCAACATGAGTTTCCCCAAGTCATGAAATAGCCTCTGACAGCAACGAAGCAGACTTCGCTAGCGTATGAGATGGCAACTTACAGAGGTTAGACCTTGTACAAGTGTAAGGATCAAATCACCTACTGGATATGAATACCCCAAAGGCTACTCCAGCTAAGCACTCTCCCAGGAGCAGGAACTTAACGCTAGGGTCACAGAAGAATATTGTGGTTAGTGCACATTGGTAGAACAGAATAGCTAGGATGAAAAGACGATACCCAAGTCGTTCAACGCCAATATCGGTAACTGCAACGAGATGAGAATCTCCAAGTCAAATAAGGGTAGTTAGAGCGTACGTAAGAGCCCGATAATTCGTCCACATTGGGCACCGTTGGACATACCTGCCTGCCACCTCGCTGGCATCTGATAGCTGCCGTTTAGCTGAAGCTCGCCGTATTTCCGATTGAACGGCGCAAAGGCATAAAATTGCCAATAACAGCGATATCATAACGTTCCATAACACAGCAAGTAGCGATGAGCGCTCCCCAAAGACTTCCTTAATAATATAGCCGAGCACCCTGCCACAACGTCATTTTATGCTCCTTGTCTGTACGCCAGATTAGTTAAATAATGCTTGGGGTCGAGTGCCAGCACTGGCCCGTTGCGGATGCGGCATTGTGAAGCATGTTGGACGTGACAGCATTCCTTGTTGTCTCATGTTGCTTCTCTTCACAGGGTGAAGCTTGGAATGAATTGCTTTGGACATCCATATTGACCTGGCTCTTCAATGGGACCAAACAGAAGTGAGCATCCGAGGATCAGCTTGTACGAGCAAAGAGAGATGCGATGAAGATTTGCATCATGAGATGTGTCAAAGGGGCTAATTTGTATTCGAAGATGTCAAAAATGCTGGGGTCTCCAGGTAATCTTGCCCCGGACTTCAGTGCGTATCCCGGATAATGCACAATCGGACATGACCATTCTGCGGTCGGATGATCGCCGCGTTTTTACTTTGCAGTCAAATTCGACCGGTCCAGACATCGCAGGCACGTACGCCGCCGTCGGACGAGTTTCTTGGTGGAGCAGACCACCAATGATGCGTGAGGTATACTTTACCCCGAGATTTAGTAACAACTTTTTTTGATTCAATTTAGTGATGCGCCACCAATCAATTCATCTCGGACGTAAATATTTGCGCCATAGCTTTGCGTCTAAAATCTGAGATATCCGATTCTAGATCACATGAGTTGAATCTTCGTTCAATATTCTTTCCGTGCTTCTGTGCTGCTGTGCTTAGGTCTCCAAACGTACACGAGGGTAGGAGCTAATCTTGATGCTTTTTATTTGAATTCGAATGTCAAATTCCGAAAGCAGAAACGTGTGAGTTCACGTAACTTAGCGAGACATGCATGAAGTCATCATTCGAAAAGTACTGCTTCTCGGATACCAAACATCTGAGAACCAAGCTAGAACGGTCCCTCTTCTGACGGAGTCTAGTTTCATCTCGCAGACTTTAGAATAGCTTTGAAGTTACACCGTCAGTTGCTGAAGTAAGCTTTGCCTAATTTCGTGAAACAACGGTCGATGCTTGCACGGGTTTGTTTCTATCGGAGTAGGGATGCCAAACCTCTTTTGATTCCCATACACAGAAGGTCAGTTACTAAGCCACGTACGATCTGCTTTTTTTTTCTGTGATCAAATCTCAGTAATCTATAACCATATCGCGTGCTTCAGTCCGCCTTCTATGCTGTCGTTCAGTCTTGCCGCCAAAGTCCAGTTATCGCCTTTATCTCCACCAATCTTATACACCTCAACCCCACCGCCCTCTTGACCAACAACTACGACAAATTGCCCACCGTTGCTGAGACGCATACCGCGGATTACATCAACGCCTGTTCGCACGTGCTTTATGCATTCAACTTTTGTGCCATCCTCTGAGAGTAAAATAATTGCCACATCGTCCCCAGGTGGTAAGTCTTCAGGGACATTTTGGAGATGAGGCTGACGTTGCTTTATATGTCTTTCCCATCTATTGCTAACGTATAAAACGTTCGAAATAAATGGATGGAGACATATTTCAGCTGCATCCATCATATACTGATGGTCGGGATGAACAGTTGGTGGAATAACATTTGGCGCGAAACCGTTGAGAGGCAGGATCCCATTTGTGGGGTTACTTGGCAAGCAAAACGCAATAACAGTGTGCGAAAGTTCGCCAATTACATACATGATTTTCTCTGGGTCGAGTCAGCTTGAATGCCCTTGACGGGCCAAGAAAAACTTACCATCTGGACTAATCACAGCATGCCGTGGACCGGTGCCAGCAGGGCACTCCAACCAGCCACAAACCTCAAGCTTTGTCTCATGACGACGGAGAATCCACACGCGATCCGATCCCAAGTCTGGAGCGTACAGTAAACCGCATCTCGTTTCAACCACTTGGTGAATGTGGCACTGTCGTTGCCGGTCTGCATTCGGACCATGCCCAACTTGCTCGTATGGGAAGGCTGGTAAAGTTTCCACACGAGGAGTATCTGTGAGTAGCAAACCATCATCCTTTGTGATAGAAGCGCTGTAGAGGGCCACAGAACCTCCCATATACTATAAAAATGTGAGTGCATGATAGGACAAGTTGCACACTACTGTATACTGACAGTAGCAAGCGCCACGGCGGAATTGTCGCGTAAGGTGATAACTATAAATCCTGATGAACATCTGCTCCATATCTGATTTTCGTTACTCACAGTGAGCAGGAGCGCCTAAGGTTGGCTGCTGGCTGGTAATTTCGCACGTGTTTCTCACGTGGTCGATTTTGAACGTATACAGGAGGCCAGACTCATCACCCTCCGAAAGCCCGATGAGGTGGTCAATATCATGCGTTGAGGCCGAAACTTCAACCCAGGATGCGTTGAAAGGTGCTTTGTAATTCGCAATCACGCCCAGCTCATTGTTGACCGGGTTGAAAGCCAACAGAGTGAAGTCTGCTCGGTCACCGGAGACTAAGAGCTTATGAAACATGGTGAAGTCTCGAATCGGAAACTGAGCCTTTAATCTGGCAAGATAGCGGCAAAAAGAACGAATCACTAATATCCAAAGGTACAGTATGGGCACTCGCTAAAACGGTTCAATGAAAGCAGGAAGAATCAATCAGCGAATCGCTGAACAAAATTTAGGTTCCCTCCGCAGAAGAAAATCTCCAAAACTCTCTTGTTCTGAAGCAAAAAAAGACATCGTAAGCTGGACGAATGTCTGCAACCGGCAGTATTTACGGCAAATATGGACTCCCGACGCTAACTCTAAATGGTCAAGCTCCATGACGATGTCCGATGGACGAGAGAATAAATTGGCCGTTAAAGAATGTCCGATTACTCCTTAAGTCCAATGACATTTTGTGGCTGACTTCAATGCCGAATTCTGATACCAGCTAAAAGGTCCCAAATTTGAATGCGGTAATGGACCTTTCAAAGCATGAACGGTTCCCTTCGATAGCTTCACTTCGGAAAATGGCAGTTGGATCCGGGTGGTGTTGAACATATTCTCCTGTCCTTGGCCGCTAGGGTTCTCGTTCTATGAATAAATAAAATGTTAGACTTCATTTGTGTGTTGACCGAATATCCTTTGGGTACTATTTCAACGGAATATTTCCTGATTTGAAATGGCTCCACCAAGTCACTTCAAATTGAACACTGGCAGTTTGATTCCCGTGATCGGACTGGGTGTGTAGTCCTGCTCTTTGCTTATAAATAAAAGCTGACATGGCATGAAGGAACATGGCAAGCTAGTCCTGGAGAAGCTCGAAAAGCTATGGCCTATCCAAAATGGGGTGCTGGAATCTGTCACGGAACCACTAGAAGTGATCTGCTCAAGTTATTACGTGAGGTAAACTGATAAGGCTATTAACTATCTATTTGGTAGTGCTATACTAAAGTATTATATAATAATCAAGATATTACATAAAGAAGGGAAGGCCCGAAAGTAGTTCTTGCTAAAAATATAAAGAGGGCCTTATTATATCTTTCCTAATTAGGATTTAAGCGCGCGCGCTGTAAAGGTTTTAGGCTGACCGCCACTTCAGGGGGTAGGTGTTAGGAATACTTTCCCAGTACCGACTAGCTTCACTAATGTAATGTAAAGGTTTTAGGCTAATGTTAGGAATACTTTCCCAATACCGATGTTACGAAGTAACACGTGATCGATCACATGAGTGATCATTTTGATCATTTTTGGGAAAATGATCAAAATGAGCGCACTAACCAATGATTGAGGGTTAGGATATTGCTGATTAGTTAGAGTGATTATTCTGATTATTTTGCCAAAAATAATCAGAATAAGCAAGGCAATAAGGATATCAGGAAAACAGTCTATATAAACATCCTGTCTCTATAGGTATTGTGTCTCTTCATAATTCAACTGTCTAGCGTAGCTAGTAGTTAGTTTGAATATTTTCTCATACTCTTGAAGCTTATGCTACTCTAAGTTATAAATATAACTACCTTATTATATTCCTTCTATAATAAGCTCTGGCTATATATTATTCCTTTACTCTAGGAAGCTAAACCCTTCCAAAGTGGCTTATATTAGTAAAGCTAGTCAGTATTAGGAAAGTATTCCTAATAAAAGTTGAATTACCGAATTATTGGATAGGGTAAGGAACAATATCTTATATCTACTGTCTCTAAGAGAAGTAACAGAAGTTAACAACAGTCTGGTCTACTAAAAAAGAAGGTTAAGGTTACTTCAAGTACTAGTACTGTTAGGCCATCAATATTTAGGACAGCAGTACCTCCACCACCTCTGCCACTACTAAGAGATTCGGAGATCTTACCAGACATTCAGTTATCTGACAATTCTGATCCATCCGACTTAAACTCTGATTCTAGAAGTAAGAACCTTTTTAATAACGATATAGCTCAACCTAAAGTTAATCTACCTAAACCCTTTGAGGGAGAGTGATCTAAATATAAAGCCTTCAGGTCTTAACTTAGAATCTATATTTACTGGAATTAGGATAAGCTTGAAATTAAAGAAAAGAAAATTATATATATAATCTTTTACTTAAAAGGAAATACATATACTTAGATCTAAAGATAAGTTAACTAATATATCCTGAAGAAGGGAGATATTCTATATAATATTAAAAGGATCTTCCAGAGCTATTTAGTATTGTAAAGGTTTTAGGCTGACCGCCACTTCAGGGGGTAGGACACTCGATGTCAAGGCCTTCCTGAGGGTGAGAAAATCAAGAGGAAGAGAGAAGCCTCCCACAGATGGGAACCGTAAAGAAGCTTAGAAGTAGAATAAGATAGTTAGGATAAGGGTATAAAAGAAGATAAAATAAATAGGGAAGAGTAAAGTAAAGATAAAGTAAAGTAAAGTAAGGCAAAGCAGGGCAAAGCAAGGCGAAGTTCTGTATAAGGCAAAGCAAAGCTGGTTTTCTGTTATCTTGTTCTTGTCTGAAGCTATATCTCTCTTATCTTCCTTACTCTCCTCTCCTTATATATCCTCACTATATTATATAACACCTAAGGCCCTTACTCCTGTATCATATAATACTCTTTAGAGTATGAACCATTTTCCCCAGTACAATTCCCCCCCTATCATCCATGAGCCTAACCCTAGGCTCAAAAAGACATATAAAATAACCTGTATAGTAATATACCCCCCCTTTTTTTTTTTTTTTTTTATTTTTCTCCCTCCTCAACTAAATATTTATTCTGTAGGTTATCTATTATTAACTTATCCTCTTTAGTAATATCATCCTCTAGTAATTATTTAGGGAATGCCTCCCTATAACGCTGCTTAAACCCCTTTCCTAAGGCTTAGCCAGGTTTCTATTTTAAATGCTTTATAATGCTCTTGTCTCTGAAGGCCATTATTTCTATAAAGATAAACTCCTGATAGCGCGCTCTAAATTCCCTAGCTATAGCTTCTTTAGCTGCCTCAATCATTTCTTTAAATCTATTATAAGATATATTTTCAGAAATGAAAGCCTTCTTCCATAAGGTATATTCAGCTAATATCTATTATATTTTTCTAAGAAGTGCTTTGCTTGTAGTATATTGCAGAGTAAGATTAACTACTACTGGAAAGATATATAGAATTTTCTTATACTTTACTGCAAGCCCTGAGGATATAACTAGGCTACTTATCTTATTCCTATATACTACTAAGAATTTACTCTAAGAGCCTGCTTCAGGAATTTCGAGTGTCTCATCATTATTGTAAATTATGATAAACTAAGGGAGGACGGTCCTCCTTAAGCTTATGTGAGTATTGCCTTCTGTTAAACCATAAGGTATGGCTAGAGATGTAATATATACATCTCCTGCTTTATAGGGCACCTTTATCCAATCAGTCTTGAATCTCTTAATCTTATGATTTCCCCAGTATTCTTTATGAATCCTGGCCATAAATCCATCTCCAAAAGTTATGCCGCGCTCTTGCATCATATCTCTCCACTCACTCAGCCGCCGCGTGTCATGCATCCCGGGCAAAATCTCTATGCAGTTATATATGTTCTCTCCATTAAGGCTTAGGGATCCTTAAATCTGATTAAACCCTTGATAATCTTTAATAAGCTATCAGAGGTTAATATCAATATAATGAAATCCTATCTTGTTGTTAGGAATACTTTCCCAATACCGACTGGCTTCACCAATGTAGGCCACTTCGGAAGGGATTAGCTTCCTAGAGCAAGGGAACAATGTATAACCAGAGCTTATTAAGGAAGGAATATAATAAGATAGTTATATTTATGACTTAGAATAGTATAAGCTTCTGAAGTATGAGAATATATTTAAACTAACTACTAGCTATACTAGACAGTTGAATTATAAAGACTAAAATATCTATAGAGACAGGGTATTTATATAGACCTTATTCTTAATATCCTTATTGCCTTACTCTAAGTAATTATTTTAATTATTATTAAGCGGAATAATCACTTCTACTAATTAGCATTCCCTTAGTCATTAGTTATTGGTCAGCGCGCTCATTCTGCTTAATACTGAGCAGAATGATCGCTTCTGCTAATCAGCGTTCTCCTGAATCTGCTCATGTGTTACTTTGTAACACCATTCCCCTCCTTAGTAAGTTTATCCCAAGCTTTATACTTAAGAGGTTTAGTAGCTGCTGAAGAAAAAATAAAGATATCTTTAGTTTTTTCTTTCTGTTGTAAATGTCTTACTTCCAAGATTAAGGAATCTGGGAGCGTCGCTATCCTTAGCTGTGAATATTGCCTAATTTATAGACTGACCTATATTATCATATCTTCCTTAAAAAGTGTCAAATATATAAACTATATATATAAAGGTATAAAGTATATTAATATATTATGGGAGGTTCTGGATAAAACCAGAGAGGAAGCTAAATCTGCTATAGAGGAAAACCTTAAGGAACTATCTAAATTAAACACTATACAACAAAAACTTCTTACTCAACTTTCTTAAAATCGAAAAATTTTAAAGATAACCAAAAGTTATGCGAAAATAAAAGCAATTTATTTAATAGATAAGCTGGAAGAGGAAGAAGAGGCTAAATAAGTAAGAAATAGTGGTTACTCTGATGGTGAGCTTCGCAAGCTTATAGATAATCTTACTATCTTTAACTAGACTATTAAAACCTGAGGGGTTTCAGATACATTAGATTCTTATAATAGAATCACGATAGTTTAAGTAGACAGTTAAGATTTTTATATGGTTCCTAAGTGTTTTCCTCCGGTGGGTAGTCTTTCCACTTTATAAGGTAAAAGTATTAATATTATCTAACTTAATGGTCCAAGATCTTCTTAACCTTATACTCTTACTTAGTAGGGTCTTCTAGCTTAGTTTCTTTATTAAGAGGTGTTTCTAGATCCACTTTTTCTAATAGTGAAATATAAAAGATAGGATATATTTTTATATTTTTTAGTAGTTATAGCTTATAGTTTACCAGTCCTATAATCCTTTTGACTTTAAATGGTCTAATTTTAAGAAAATTAAGTTTACTATTTTGGCGTTTAGTGCAAATATTTTGTCACCAAAAGTAAACTTTATCCCCCTCCCTAAGGTCTGGTCCTTCAGACCTTTTTTGATTTACCTAGAGGATTATTCTTTTATTTAGGAATATAATATTAAATTATAGTTAAATATAAAGTAATTATAGTTTCTCTATAAATAGTATTACTTCTATAGGTAAGTATACTAATATATCAACTATTAATCTTGGTTCCTTTC